GCAGTAATGCATCTGAAATGTGTGACTTTGTTTGGAGATGCTTGAAGCGTGCTGTGATTTTTTTTTTTCTTCCATCCGAAAAGTAGATCATGGGTCAAATTAGGCCTTGTTGTTTTAGTGTGTGCTGATGCTCTAATAGTACTGCAGGAAAAGCTGGTGCAGCCTTTAAACGTCTGCATACGTACATTTACAAGTTTGTTGTAAAAAAACAGGTGCTTCAGACATTATTTCTATCAACACGTAAACTGTTTGTTGTTCTTTGATGAGGACAAGTTTCTTGATTCTATTTTTGATGTGCGCATAAACAGAACCTGTCTGCACATGTGACTGTTGGGCATACATTTGAAATGCTCTTACTCAATTCCACTTTAATACAGAATAAAACATGAAACTTTTAATGTTTTAAAAGAAAAATTTTCAGTGCTTTGAACATATTTATATGCTTATATCTGCAGATTTATATGCAGGCAAAAAACATATATTTTTTAGCTCATATCATATATTCATGTATTTTTGAAGTTATTTCATTGGTGCCCGTTTCTATCGAGCTTTTCACATGACTAACGGAGTGATTGACGGCCCACACAGCTCCAGCACCTGCTTTCTGGGTCCAAAGCTCCATTTCCAGTCATGCAAGCAGCAGCTGAAGCCGTCTGAGCTCTGGGTCTTTCTCGCAGCTTTTTATGCTTTGAGCAGTAAATGCAAAATGTAGGGCACRCGCTGTCTGAAAAACTGTGTCAGACATTCTGTTGCCGCTTCTGGAGGCTCATCTCCAGAGAAAATTGGTGTTGGCGCATGCAGATTCTGTCAGTGTGCGCCGCGTTATCAGGTTTTAAAACATGCATTGCACAAAAGCATGAATCGGAGCTTAAATGCCTAGMATTCCTTGAAGGAGTGCGTAGTGCCCACCGCATTCTTTGCCAGACTTGATGATGAGGCAAACCTTGTAAATGACTTTATGCACAATCCTATGTGACGCAAGATGGATTAGTGTGGGATGACCCTCAGCTACTACCACACCAAATTCTGTCTCTATCTGAACAGTTAACTGGGTTATCATCATGTTTCTGTTTTAATGTCGCTCAGCTGTGGCTTCCATCTTGATTTTAGTTGAATCCTAAAGTGAACAAGTTGTAGATCTTCATCCAATGATGGCTTTCTGCAAGCTTCATTAATCCTGTGGTTCATGGAATATTTTGCTAACAGTACTAGGGTTGGGCATAATCGTATCGTGTGCAATTTATCGTCAGAAAAACATTAATCGATTACTTTTTGGCACTTGACGATTACTACGATTAATGTCACCAGACAGAGTTTGCTCGGGGCTCCTCTCTGCTTCAAATATGACAAACATTAAAAAAAGTTCCGTAATTTATTTACCAACACAATTTAAAATTTGATGTATAGCCTGAAGTCTGTAATTTTGACACATTTTGGAACAAATTTTTCCAAAGAACAAATTTTTCCGAAGAGCAGATTTTTCCCACTAAATTGGTCATGAGGCTACGACATAAGGGTGCCCAGGGACTGCAGGGGATTAATCGTCAAATTAATCATTATTGGCTAAATACCACAATTAATCGTGATTAATTTTTTTGCCAATATTGCCCAACCCTAGTACAGACACATGATACATACAGAAAGGCGACAGGCTAAAGACCACAGATTTTATTCTGTGAAAAGGTCACTGGAAACTAGATTTTCMCGCTTTTAAGCTCTTGAGTAAATAACCAAATGCTGCCTGTTTGGGTTTTATTAACCATTAACTATTTGTGCTACAAATTCAGTGAAATGTATTTCTCCAATATTCTGCATTACTGTGTCTCCAATGACTGTTATCATTATGATGAATGTCAGTCAGCACTGCTGTCTAAACAAAATGAATGAGAATAGTTTCTTTCATTTAATTCTCCCCAGTTAAATACGTTCTTTCTGTTTCTGCGTTCTTTGCACATTCTCCAACCACCACTGGAATGCTGAGGTGATGGATTTAGGTTACTGCAGCTGCCCGGTCCCTGACAAATGAGCTGATTGTTAGGATTGCCTCAGGGCACTAGTCACACCCTTAAAAGGACTACTACTACCAAAACAACTCCTCCCACACAGCCACACTCCAGCAGCAGCTCGGGGAAACAGAGGGGCCCGAAAGAGAGTCAAGGACTGGTACTGAAGACCTGGAATGTTTGTCAAAAGTAGGGACAGGAAACACGTATAGGGCAGAGAAAACAGGTTTCATTTCAGCCAGTTATTGAAATCAACACAGGGACTTGGAAGAGAGAGACAGAAAGGGAGAGAGAGAGAGTAAGCAAGGATAACAGTATGAGTGCATGCCTGGATTAGGAAGGAGGGAGATCACATGCTGCTCTGGCATGAAAGACAAGTCCAAGAGAGAGCGAGGGAGAAGGAGAGGGAGAGCGGGCTGACAAACCACCTACTGTCAACCATCAGAGCTTCAGGACGAGTGGCAGTGTGTGACTGCTGTTGAGACGGAGAGCTTGGTCTCGAGCGGCTCAGCAGACCTGGACTTGTAGGGGGTGTGAAGGGCCACTTCCACCGGATCCCCTATAGTCAGCTCGCAGAGGCTCGCTCGCCTGTGGTCTTCCAAGAGTTGTGAGGCTTCATGTGTGTTAGGACTGTACACATGTCGTTCACGTGGATGTGGAAGCCAAAGTCCGACCATGAGTATCATTCTTAAGCCGCGGTCCCGCTCCACCAGCTCGCTGAAGAACACTGAAGGAGTATGGTAAATAAATACATGAGGAACTTTGTCCTGCTGGCAGCATTTTGTTTTAGATTCTGTTGCATGTGAGCTATTGTTCTCCATCTGCCTGTTTGTTGCTCCTTAAAACTCTCTTCCTTTGCCTCACTGGCAGCCTTATAAGTCTTTACTTTTTGTTTGTTTAGTTGGTTTGATTCACTCTCTGTTTGTGAATCTTCTAGCTTAAATTCATTAAGTGTGAAACTTGTGTGCAAATGTCAGTTTGGGTGTTTCGTGTTTCATTCTGATGATCTGAGTTCAGAGGATCTGCCCTGTGTGTTACCTGACACTGACTCTCGTTACCCTGGTGTCTTGGCCTCATTCTGCTTTCTACTCACAGTCTTGTCAGCAGGCAAAACAGAAGGTTATGAAAAAGCAAAGACGTCATTCATTCAGTGCTGTGTTGTGCAGCCCTACATTTTCTCCTTTGTGCATGTGGCTCCATTTAAATTAAGGACGGAGAAAGAATGGCCAGAGGCTCGACTTGCCATGCCCTCCCCCTCTTGTATCCTTCACCCTTCTGTTTCAGCTTGTCCTTGCCTGTCAGTACTCATTTTGTAGTGAAAGAAACCTTGCCTTGTAGCTTGAACATTAAAGAGTAATACACTTTTCCCCCCCTGACTGAGGTGTTAATAAACACACTGACCATGAAGCATTAGGGGTTACCCTGGGACGTGTGTTTGGACCCATTTGGGCATTTCAGCATTGTCCCATCAGCTTATTAATCCAGTTCATAACCTCCCCAGCATGAGATAATGCTTGTGTGAAATGAAGTTGTAGTGAGGTCTTTCACCACCATGGTGTCTCTGAATAGAGCAGGTGTCACACATTACTGTATCTAAGGTAGGAGTAGTGTAAAACCCATAGTGGGCCTTGCATAAAACTGATTTTACAGACAGAGCTGACTGCAGAATGTATTTTTTTTTTTTTGCCCCTCATTAAAAGCCGAGAATCTGGCAGTGTTAGGTTCGGATGAGCCATCTTCTTGAATGTCTACCAAAAGCAATACTCAGCTGGACGAGGCATACCGCCTCCTCAATCTGTCCTGCCCTCTTTTCTGTTATTTACCRTTTTATGAAGGCTCCTTTCATTCATGGCCCCGTCTTTCATAACAGATATCACAGTGCTTGTAGGATTCATTGCTCTGTGATGCTTGCGCTTACTGAAAAGGTGTGATTTGATGAGTTGTTTTAATCAAACTGATGATCTTTGTGAGTCTAGTAAATGTTTAAGTATTACCTGCACTTATAAGCTGTATGGTTATCACAGCTTATGTTTCCATATGCTTGGATGAATACTTGAGTCTACAAATCCCCTTGTGCGTCCATGCGTGCGTAGCTTTGCGAGACAGTGACGTGATCAGAGCGTAAGAGCTGGCTACCCCCCACCCCCCACCCCCTTGCATGCAGAAATTCTAACAGACCTCTTTCCAGCTAACCTTGCAGATGCAGGATTGTGTATGCTGATTTGGGGTATCTTTCAATGTGTTTGCTGTGTAAACATGGTTCAAATGATTGAACAATGTGCATTAAGAGACCGGACTGAATGGATACGTATGAAGTCTTGTTAGCCCTTCAAAGCCATTGTGGCACTTTTTTTTTCTGTCTTTCAACAATCATAAGGGCGTTGTTTTCTGTTTTAAAACTTTAAAAAGGTTGGAGAAGTGGTTAGATGTGTGACTTTTATCTAAACTGTCTGCATCTGTGTTTTGTGAGTTCCCAGCTGGACATATCAGGGTGCTGGTAAATGTTGAAGATCACATGTCTGGCCTTTCTTAAGACCTGACGTGTGGATCTTACCCAACATACTTTCCAGTTTTGACCTTTATCAATGGAGGGCCGAGCTGATAAACAGAACAAAAAGTAGGTTTGAAGTGGACCTCCTATGCACGTCGTTGTAGAAGTAGCTTTTCTTTGACGCTTGTGAACTAAGATGACTCCACCATTGCCATGGTGACCTCTGTTTTACGTCTTGTGATTGACTGACTTTTCTGAATGCAGCAGTGACAGCAGCTGCTAAAGCAGCGTCAACGCTAAAGTGAAAAATTCACAGCATTTGTACCTGACAGAGCCTGAGGGAAGGAGGGAGAAAACAGGACAGGGCCCAGCGTTCTGGCAGTAATGTGTGATTGTACAAATCCCTCTCCTCTTTGAGAAAAGTGCCCTAGATTGCCCGTCTATAGCACACAAAAAACTAAATTAAGGAGCCATTCTAGAGCCATAGGGAGTTGCTTTTGATCAGATTAGCAACCTTTTCCCCCACCAAATCGGCGTAATTACTTTTAATGTCACTGAGAATGAGTTACAGATGTTTTGGTGACAAAATTGTTTTTGATGTCCCCACTGGAATGTTTTTAGCAAGCAAATGCTAGTAGATGGCTGATAATGTGAAACTCCCGGGAAACACAATTAGACCACAGCTAGTCCTACTGAATCGAAGTCGAGTATAAAAACAAAATTGCACAAAAAATGTGTCCAGGATTTTCCAAGCGCTTGTTAAAGCTTTGTCAGCCAACCAAGGAAGCTTGTACAAACTCAAATAAAAGGGTAATGAAAAGCTGAAAGCCATGGTTTAAAATGTTTACAAAAATAAATAAATAACTAGTCTGAAAGTATGTCAATGATTCAATGGAAATGTCAGACCCATAACCTTGGCGTTTCCTGGACCTGTGTCAAAGAAAAAGGTCTTTCTGTTGGAGTTATTATCAGTCAGGATCCTGATGCATCTCAATAATCCATGTAGAAAAATCTAAAAAACAAAAACAAAAGGACCGCTGAATAGGTCCTCTGGATGAGTTCTTCTTCCCTGAAACTCTTTGTTTCATCTAATCTCCAAGAGACTTCCTCAGTCTGAGGAGTTTGCACCAAGTTTTGTATTTGCCAAATGTTTTAATAACCCAAAACTCATCTATATTTTTCAGAAAAAAGAAAAAAAACTTTCTACTTGGACGGGTCCTACACAAATAATTAGCTGCAGTCAAATAGACACCATCAATTTTTATTTCAAATTTTCATTCTGAAAATTGGTATCTACTGGTTCCATATTTATTACGTTTTTGATTGCCAAAGCCAAATTTGGCTTTTTATTTCACCTGGCGAATCTTAACTGGACTGTATCAGTGTGTTTGCCTGTGCTCTCCTCTTCTTGTGAATGTGTGACGAATGAGGCGTGTGGTACAGATAGACGGGGGAAGCGTTGGAGTTATCAGCGAGTGGTCAGTCACTTATCTGCTTGCCCCTGGCTGCCTTGTGTTCTTTGAGCTCGCCACAATTTCTCCCTTTGCCTGTCTCTTGTGCAACGCTATCTGGAGGTTTCCTACTGTTTCTCCTGAAACCTTTTAGAGACGGTGAGAACAGTGTTGAGAGATAAAGAATGATGAGTGTTAACGTGTTGCATACTGAAGCCGTCCACTGGCTTTAGTTTTTTTTATAGTATAGGAGAAAATTTACCACTGTGATTTGACCTTTAGGTTCACTTTCATGCACTTATACAAACAAAATCATCATAATTTCCTCACTTGCATAGTTTTCTGAAAGTTTGCACACAAACAGTAATTGTCGGAGACATGGGAGTTGGTTAGACATTACAAGTAAGATATTATGGGGAGTGAGCACATTAATGAAGAGGACTGCTTCACACCTTTTTTTAAAAATGTTTCTATTCATGTAATAAGTCTTTTACATGAATAGAAACAAGTTTTTCTCAGCCAAATCTTTAGTAACTTTGAGTCCCTAAGAAAACAGTTCAACTAACAAATAACGTATCTGTCAGTTCAAAAAGAGTACATGTGTAGAAAAAAAATAACAATAATAAAATTTTAAAAATACTACTGAATTCCATTATGTTTGATGTTTTTGCAGCCATTTTCATGAAGAGACTGGGGTTTCAGTTGTGTGCCGAAGCACCCCACCTTAATACAAACTCAAGAAGTTTCGTACATGTTCTCATGCTTACAACATGCAGCTCCGACATGTCTCTCCTTGTCCTTCCTCCACTTCCTGCTCAAATCCCCCCCCCACTCCCCACCCCCCGAACATCCAGATCTTTTCAGACCCACATGAATTTGCATTTTCTAAACATCGCAGGGGCTCCACATTTTTGGCATGTTTTTTCTAAATATGGCTTCAGTTTTAGCTCAGTTAAAGCTCTGAGTTGAATTTTATATAAACTCGCACTCCGTGAACTTTGTTGCAAATGTGAACGGCGCCAAAATAAATAAATAAAATAAAATAATGTTTGTGTTTCCTAATGAATTTGTCTTTAGGGGATACAGTAGCTTTTCTACTAACTCTGAAGTGCTTTTAGGAAAATAGTTGACTTTTTAAGGACACACGTGCTTTGACCTGTTTCTCACAGCTCTGTGTATATCACTTGACTGAAGGAAAGTTGAAAACAAGTGGAAAGACGAACCAGAGGCTGTTATGAAGAGCAAAGAATAGATGGAGAATAACAGGGCTGTGCTGTGTCCTTTAGCATGTCCTACAGTATAAAGTCACGGCACTTCTCATTTATCTCAGAGTCGTGACATTGTGTGTCCTGTTTTTAGATGTGAAGCAGTGCTGAGTTACAGTGAACTTGAACAACTTTTCAGGAATAAAAATAAAAAAATTATTACCTAATGGAGTCATTTCCCAGGGGAACATCAGACATAAACCCGTTTGTGTTTAACCTTTTATCCCATCCAACGTGACAAAAAGTCTTTGTAGAATCAGTTTGTTGCAACTTTTTTTTCTTTCTCCGTGCCTTTGTTTGTCATCTGTCTTATCTCCCTGATCTTTGTCTCAGTCCTGTTCACACACACAGGAAACACACACCCAGGCAAACTTTTCCTCCCTGGAAGGATAAGTCAAATACAATAGATTGRATTATTGCTCATCTGATACAGATGGGCGGTTTGGATCAACACAAGGAATCTTCTCATCGTCACTTTAGTGTTTGCGAAGTAAATATTTGTTTTCTTGCTAATTATGTCTCAGTTCTGTGGCTCTATTTTTTTGTGGGGGGTGGGGGGCGTAAGCTGTGTTTTTTTTTTTTTTTTGGTAAATCATGGCTCAAAAGTAACAGAGAATTCCTCAAATCGTTTCAACAAGAATCATCTTTTGTTGTCATTTTTATCGTAGAGGTGTTGTCGCTTTCCTCCCCGTCTTTCACGTCTGCTGGGTTCAGATGAATTATTGTTGTGCCAGGGAATGAAGGGAGAGACATTCCTGCACTGATGTCAGCGCTCGGTCATAACATTGCTGCACAGATCGCGTGTTGTTCCCGAGGCGTGTCGAGAGGCTGAGAGCAGCCGGCTGCGAYGTCAGAACAAACGTGATAAAGAATAATCTGGTAGACGTACGCCAAGTGTCACCTTTCAACACTTTCTTCGAGTCTCCGTTTGTCATCTTTTTGTCTCGGTCCGGTTCGCAACATAGGAAACACATACCCAGACGAACTTATCACACACACAACAGCTGCAGAACAGACTGACGGTGGGGAGGAATGATAACTTGTACGTCACCTATGAGTGTGCGCTTCACACCTGCAGTAAAGAAAGCAGATGGGTTGCTTGGCATGATAAGAAAGCATAGATGGAAGGAGGTGACTGGTAAAGGAGGAAAGGTAAAACTGGTATTTTTTCTTGTGTAAAATTTGGAGTCATTTTTGGAATAAAATAAAACGTTGCTTAAGGTCATTTTAACCACAGTATTTCTAGACGTGTGCTTTTAAAAGAACTAGTCAGAGAGGAAGGCGATAACAATACAGCTGTTCTTTCTTCAGGCACACAGCCACACTATCCACATCCTTAATCAAAGCTCTGTAGTTCCTGCTATTTTAATAAGACTGCAACGAGGCAGGTTTAGGCATTTAATTGTTGTCGAAAATATGCTTTGCATGTCCTGTGCGATGATGATGTTGGTCCACTTGGACAAACACTTTGTGATTCTGATAAAAGATTAAAAAAACATTTAAAAACTGTTTGTTGATTTTGTGTTTATTTTTTACTGTAACAATTTAATTTTGATTTAAGGTGCCACTTTACAACAAGACTCCCCTTATAGATGACTTTTAAAGRGTTTATAGATAGGTTATCAATTCATCTGTAAACACTTTATAAATTATTACTAATTATTACTCTATTATTGTGTATTAATTAAGGTTAAAAAAGAGAGACAAAACTGTCTGGTTTCTGTCCAAATACTGAGCCAAATCTGTTTGGGTATTAAACATTTCAGACTAGTTTACTACCTTGTAAGAACAATAATGATTAGGAAATGTGTATTTTAACATATAATATTGTACTGTATTACTGCATTATAAAATATCCACACATTTTAAAGGGATCCTTATTGTAAAGTGTAAAACTGTACACTATTTTGGACTTTTGCCAAACTTTTTCCAAAGTTTTTACATTTTTTTTAATTACGTTTCTTAAACTGATTTGAAGAGTTTCATAAAAAGTGTACAGCTCTGTAGTTCATACTCTTTTTGTTGATGTAAAATGTCAAAGCCTCTGTTGCTACTTCCCCATTTGGAAATTTGGAAAATGACTTGGCTGAAGAAACACAGATTGCTCTTGTCTCACTGAATGCTTTTAGTTATGGCTTTTCATGTTGCTATTTCTAGTAGCAGTAAACTTTTTACAATCTCATCACATCCAGTGGGGGTCTGCTGCGTGTCAGACATGGAAAGCTGATATAATGGAGGTGACATGTTTGCCTTTTTTGGTATATTCTCTGAAAACTGGGAAAGAAAGTGTGTGGGGATTGGGGAAAGTCGTCACAAACACTCCTCTTTTTGTCGGCGTACGCGGTGAGCRTACGCTCGGAACATGCACTCTGACCCGGTCTCCTGTTCTTCCACATGCAAACACATCRCTGGTTACAACACAGCCTTTATTGGATTAAACGTGTCGCTGGTTCCACACTGAGGATTGTGATGAAGATGATGTTGATGATAGAAGGGGACGTCATTCCCATGTGTGCTGTGCGAAGGGCTGAGGGGGAATCCCACGCTGACCTTAGCGTCCACCCCTGGCTAGATTATAGGATTACGTAGTAGGCGGGACGACGAGGCAGATATCCCCTGGAGATGTGCACTAGTCATCACCTGGGTGAACAATCACCTTGGAGACGAGGGAGCTCATCATGACATCCCAGTGGGAAAGGGTGTCACTGGTTTACAAACGCCTCTCGGCTGTGAGTCGGGAGCRTTATTCGGGTATTTCCTGAGTTTGAACCGAGCACTTTTTAAATCTGGATGTAGACGCGTTTGAATGTCCTGATCACCCTTCAGATGTTATCACTGCAACGGTGAAATTCTACGAGTCTAGATTTCATTACTGATAACAAAAGTAGCCCTATGTGTGTTTAACCCTTTCTGTTCCTCTCTGTACGCAGTTTCGACGTGGACAATGGCACGTCATCAGGTCGAAGCCCCCTCGATCCAATGGCCAGCCCCGGCTCAGGCCTCATCYTGCAGGCCAACTTTGTCCACAGCCAACGGAGAGAGTCATTCCTCTACCGCTCGGACAGCGACTACGACCTCTCCCCGAAGTCCATGTCCCGAAACTCCTCCATCGCCAGCGACATGTGAGGGCACCTTTACTTTTTGTGTCTGTTCCAAACATAGTCGTTATTTTTGTTTCTCTGCTCCTCTGAATTCACATCACAGCTGTGTGTATTTTTAGTTTGGTTTAGAGATGAGGGGAGTGTGCTTGACTAGCAGAAAGATGTTTGGTTACACTGATGAATGGACCTATCCAGGAGCATGAAAAGACATTTGTGGTAAACCATCATGTCTGTAGTATTCGCAAAATTAGTGTTTCATGTTCAATTTGGACAGTGCTAACATCAATCTTTTGTAAAGCTRCAGCAAAAGCAGAAGTAAACATTTTAATGAAGCTCTTGACAACTGTAATATCAAGTGACAACTTCTARTCTACTCGGCATTTACTCCAAAATGTCACCAGGTTACAGTGACTTCTCCCTTTCTAACAAAGCGCTCCAGGTATTTGGTATTTGTTCAAGTAATTATTGAATATGTCACTTGTTTAATTTCTTGTTACCAAGAAGTAAAGTGAGCAACATGTGAGGCATTGTGACTCTCAAGGCTGTCATCTGAACATGATCACCTGAACATGTTCAGTGTTTGCATAACTTGGAGGTCAGCAGTTGTGACTGACAGCTTACTGCTTACATGTGTTCAAGCTCTGCTGACTAATACCATCTGAACTGCTGATGAAATCTCATGAGGTACCTTTAAAGGGGCAATATCATGTAAAATCAACTTTTATGAGTTTTATATCATGTTATAATGTTATACTCTCATAAAAAACATGTCCAAATTCTTGCTTTGACTCATTCATGCATGTTTGAGAAATCCTGCAGCGTTTTTAGACAGCCATGCTGAGGAGCAAAACGACAGGTGGGGACCAGAAACGCCTTTTGGTACCAGAAACGCCCCTGGGATGTGTCTTTAAGCCGAACTTCCTCATGGCGGAGCACCCACCCCCTTTCCCCCACACCCCACCCATGACTCCTGCAGGCTCTCGGGTGAAACTGAAAGTGAAATTGAAACTGTCTGCTGAGCTCCACTACTTCTCACTCAGTGAAGCTCTTTTCAGATTAAAAATGCCTTTGAGGAAATGTGATTTCAGATGCCAAGTAAACTRCATCATGCCCCCCCCCCCCCCGCACCGAAATGGGTGAGACAGAAGCGGAAGGTGGTTCTTAAACAGACAGAGGCCAATTTCAAGGTATTTAGAAGAGGAAGTGATGAGAAGATGTTTTTTATTTGAACATAAAAACAGCATTTTAATAACAGCTAAAGGTGACATAGRTACTTTATTATGGTATTGAATTAAAATGTATGCCTGATAAACACATAATATTGCCCCTTTAAGCAAAACTTTTCAGTTCCACCTCCATTTATAGTATATATATATATAAAAAAACTGTAATGTGCTGTTCCTTTGACCAGTAAATGTCAGCTCAACATGAAACCAAAAAGCACGTGAGCATTAAAGAAAAGGCGAATATGAGAGAAGAAAAGGAGTTGAGAGAGGGTGATTGTGTAGGAGATGTTGATGCAGGTGCAAAGACAGCTTGTTTGTTTGACTGCAGCCCTGCTGTGACGTTTTGCTCGATGCCAAAAATGTCTCGCACCAAACTGTCAAACATGCAAAGAGGCAGAACAGAATCCCTTCAGTATCGTTGCTGAAACCTGAAGCCTCTGTGGCACTATTACACACCTGTGTCACGTTTAGTGGAAAAATAGTTGTTGAAAATGAGCACATCAGAGATGACCCTCATCCCTCCCCCTCTTCATAAAACAAAGAGCTCACATCTGTTCTCAAACATGATGTTCGACCTGCCTTTAAAATTCTCTCCACTCTCTTTGTTTCTTCCAGTCATGGTGACGATATGATTGTAACGCCATTTGCACAGGTAAGCTGTTTGGTTAAACTGCTGTAAAGTTGAATAATGCGAGTAAGTGAGTAAATCTTAACCAGTCATGTCCCCTTTAGGTTCTTGCAAGCTTGAGAACTGTCCGAAACAACTTTGGTGCATTAACGAACTTACAGCAAGACAGAACATCAAATAAGTAAGTTACCACATACGTTCTCTCCTCCAGCAGCTCATTCTTACTGTTTCTCTGAACGGTTCCTGTTCGAGGCGTCGCAAAAACTACAAGAGCTGCTACAAATGTTAAAGCCTCCTTCTAGAGCCAGTAGTTACTTTGTTCATGCTGAGATGCTGAACAAATGCTGGATCACATTTTCATGGGGTTACAAAATAATGGAAAGATGGTGGTGATTAAAATGCTCCATTTGTTAATTTTCTGAAATCCTTCTGCATCCTTCCACAATGTATCAACAATATTAACATACTTGCAGAATACTGACCTTCAATCAGTTTTTTGTACTGATTCACATCCCTCAGCAGCTTGCTCCTCCTGCCCTCTGCTGCTTCAGTTCGGTACTACAACAACTCGTTTAGCTCCTCCTGATCCATGCAGGGAGAAGCCAACAGAAATAATGCAGCTTCAGTGTTCATCTACATATGTGTGAGTTGGAGGGAAATGTCTTAATGGACCTTTGTTTTTTTTTTCCTCATGACAGGAGATCACCCATGTGTAACCCGCCACCCATCACCAAGACCACCTTCACAGGTACAGTATAAGTACTTTGTGTGTGTCAGTTTGTAATTTTATGTTTGTGAATTATGAATATTAATTTTACTTTGGTAATATAAAATATTGGGGCTCCTGGCATCACAAGCGTGTCCGTTTTATATTGCAGTGGAGATATTTGTAAGCAGTTTTGTGTTCGTGTGTAGACTGATGTAAAAATGCATGATGGAAGATGACATCAGATACATTTAGAATGTTGCTCTCAAATATGCTTACATATTTATTATTGCCTGTATGCTTCCTTTAAATGCTGTTAGAACAAGAAGAAAAGTGCTGCTGCATTAGAAACCTTTTGTTCAAAGTAACATCCTTTATTAATGCTTCAAATTAAGGCTATATATAAATTATTCTAACAACCCAGTGTGCTGCCTGATGTTGGAGTGAAAATTTTGTAAATCTTGACATTTTTTTTTATTTCAAAGACACTGGAGAGTTAGCCAAAGAACTTGAGGATCCAGTGCAACTCGAGAATATACTAGAATATGGAAGAATATATATGTACTATGTACATGTATTTCACCTTGAATCAGTTGGTGGTTGTAGAAAAGACTCAGATACAGGCAGGCAGAAAGGAGGTAGGTTCCAGATGCAAACAAACTTTATCGGCTTCAACAGAGACTCAAAACAAAGTGTAAACATGTCAAGAACGAAGTGAGGAAAACAACAAATCTGACATTGGGTGAAATAATCTGAGACATACATACAGAGGAAGGGAATCAGAAAAAGACAAACTGGTGTGCTGATTAGTAAATTTTTACCAGAGATAACAAATTGGAAGAACATACTCAATGAAATAAAAGACAGGTTACTAAAAAAATCACAGAACAAGAACAGTTGATTTAAATATTGTAAAAATAAATAATTTTAAATATTAGGTCACTCTTAAAAAATAAAATAAAAACAATACCCGGAAAATAAACTTGATTTTTAAAAAGTCTTTTGACTTTCTTGTTTTGTACATTCACCTTGCATTTACATTCAGTTTGGGCTGATCAGGCACCAGTTTGAAGTATGAGCCACAAACATGTTAATCATGTATTTGGTTGTGTACTGTATACAGTATTCTTCACAAACACTTAGAGGGCTTTGACAATGAAACTGAAACACCTGTCATTTTAGTGTGGGAGGTTTCATGGCTAAATTGGACCAGCCTGGTGGCCAATCTTCATTAATTGCACATTGCACCAGTAAGAGCAGAGTGTGAAGGATCAATTAGCAGGGTAAGAGCACAGTTTTGCTCAGAATATTGCAATGCACACAACATTACTGTATGTGTGACATACCAGAGTTCAAAAGAGGACAAATTGTTGGTGCATGTCTTGTTGGTGCATCTGTGACCAAGACAGCAAGTGTTTCTGATGTATCAAGAGCCACAGTATCCAGGATAATGTCAGCAAACCACCAAGAAGGATGAACCACATTCAACAGGATTTACTGTGGACGCAAGAGGAAGCTGTCTGAAAGGGATGTTATGGTGTAAAACCAGGTGTTTCAGTTTCATTAACTCCTGTAGCTACACTCAAGGGCAAATTGTTTTCTGTGGACATTGAACTCATCACGTTTTTAACTGAGGAGCTTTAACTGAGTGTGTCTCATCTTTGCAACGTTAAGTGGAAGGCTGCTGTTGTCTCACAGTTGAGGCAGGTCCTTATGCACACATTGTGTTTGTGTACCCCTGTTTTTGTGGGAGCCTCATTTTTATTGCTTCTTTCTCTTTTTAAAAGTCCATCTAGGGAGGGACAAGTGCTGCAGATTAGCTCATGCTATAAGCACCATGATACAGGTGTGGGACTGCTGTCTTATTCAGTCTGTCTATGTTGTTGTGTGTCTGTCCCTATCAAATAAACTTAATAAGAATAATAAGTTTAAACTTAACTATAACTGAAAGCTCATGCATTAACCTAACAGTGAAAGCTAAGTTGTGCTCCTGGTTTTCCATGTGCCCAGCAGCAGGACCTTGAGCAAGACCTCAGATTGCAGCTTGCAGGCATAGCAGATTGCAATGAAGGAGTTTTACTTTTTGTCCAAAGAAGCTGCATTTTAACACTAAAATATTTATTAAAGCAGAGTGCAAATTTTGCATTGGTTTAAAAGTAGCCTCACTTTTAAAAACAAAACAAAAACTTAATGACCCATTCTGTATCAAATTTTAGGTTTAATTTTGCCCCTTTGCAACAAAAACAGTAAAATATGTGAACAGGAGCAACTCTTTGGGAAACAGGCTGCTTTAAGATACAGTATTATGTGAACACAGACAATAAAAGAGAACCAATATAATGGGACAGAAGTAGGTGTAAAGAGATGATGGTTAACAGAATGCAAAGACAACACAATGATATAATTTAAAAACTAACGCATCAGGTTACCAATATTTACCAATTTTTTTTAAATAGAAACGTTAGCTTATGAAAAACAAACAAATGAGCATGTATTACATAATTTTCAGTCTGGGTTAGGGTTAGTGTAACCATCAGACACACATGTAGCTCCTAATGAGTGTGTTGTAGAGGGCATGGCACAGACTGAATAAAATCGCCCATGACATTCAGCTGTAGTTTCTGTGACTGTAACCTAACCAATCATTCCACTGGGGGCTGTTTGGTGTGATGATTATGACCCTACAGACACCATTAGAATCACAAATATTTATGTAAAATTACAAAAAGACAAAATATATATAAGTTCAAAAATTGTATAGACTTCACATGTGAAAGCAAGAAAGACATTCCAAACAGGAATCACATTCTCGCTTCATAACCTGCTTATTTATATGCAGGCTTGGTGACATTGTGCTATATTTAGAACACAATCATTCTGGTGCATAGCCATTATGGGTCCTGCCATAAAGTGGTGACAGCTGTGAGTCATGAACATCATTACATTGGAGAATTGACTGAAACTTTGAATACAAAAGTCCTACTGACTCTGCAACAAGTCATCTTAAAACAATAAAAAACATACAAATAATACGTAGAAATATATCCGGACCAATTAAATGGCTTCTTCACTTTGAACAGAGGCTTAATTAATCATTGTCGTCCTACATCAGACAGCAGAGCAAACAGTTTAACAGTTAAAGCTCCAATTATTTTAGCTTCATTGCGTAAATTGATGATAGTTGTATCTATTGGTGGTTTAAAAGAAATGGCCAATTATTTAAAAATAGTTACAAATAGAATTTTATTTTTTAAAATATGTCTATATATGTATACATATTTAAATATATGCTCATTTATTCATTATACTTCTAGTAAACTACACATTTACATCATTTTTATCAACAATTTTTGTACAAATGCATGTTTTTTCCCTCTTTCCTTTCATCCATATTTTTCCCCCTGCCGCTCCTCCTCCTCTTCCTCCTCTCCTCTCCTGTCTTTTCCCGCTCGCGGTCCGACTTCACCGCTGAGCTGTTCCGGTACACAGTTTGGCTGCAGCCCTGCGTCTGTGCAGCAGAGTGGCCTCTCCGAGCGCCGGTGTCTGATGTCGCACTAAGCATGAGAAGAATGTCATTGACGTCAGTGCAGTTGCTGTCAGAAAGAGTAGCACCCGAGCCACTGACACCACACAGGGGAGAGGGGGAGAGAGACAGAAACAGAGAGAGAGAGAGACGGAGAAAAGGAGACTGAAAGACGAGAAATGAGAGAGACTTAAAAAAGCTGGGTTAAGGATGAGCTGTGGAAGAAACAAAAAAAGTGTTGGAGGTAAAGGGGACTTTATGGAAGAAGAAGGGGAAATGTGTCAAGTATAGTGGAGCAGGAGCAGGTAGAGATTGTTGTAAATATGTGATGACAAATATGGCTCAGAGACGGTCAGCAGCAGATTGTACACAAGACCTGTGCTGACCTAAAAACAGTTTATTTTTATGAACAGCATGGAGTGCAATGACATAATTCCTAAATAAATACAAAATTAGGCAGAGTCGTATGATTTATCCCCAAAAAAACTATGTTTAAGCTGATTGTGGGTAAATGCTGGAGGCAAATGATTTCTACAAGGTTGTGTCGATATTAGATCCAACTGTGTTTCATTCTATCGCTTCTCTGTCTGTATTACTAAGTTGCAACTGAAGTCACCTCCCAACCCTTTTCTTTCCTATCAAATAGCTTTAAAAGTTTCCCCACATTAGTCAAAGCATCAGTATTAATTACCATCTGACAAGGTGACATTTTGTGTGCTGACTTTAGCAAAGTTTTTAGTTTCAAACGAAACCAAAAAAAAGAGGAAATGTCTCATACGGGCTTGTGTTGCCATCCTCACCATATTGTGGACCACCTCTTGTGTTTTGGTGTTATTTGTATGCTGAGCACATATTACCATGCTTGCACACCCAGCAGTGTGGAGTTTCTAGCCGGGGCTCCTCTTTCCTGTGTATCCAGTCCACGTTTTCACCGTCTCCCTTCCCCATCCAGAGTGCAGTCCTCTCAGACTTTAGGTACAGCTTGGGGAGAGCAGCACGTTTGGCTACCAGGGAAGCCGGAGCAACAGCAACTCACCCCCCACCCCCCCTTCATTCACTAGCATCTATAGGATATACTATCCAGCACACACACACAAACACACACACAGAGCCCCCTTTTTTGCTTCCTGGAGACCATGGATATTTTTCCGGGGAGAAGGGCTGAGGAAAGCCAGTCATGATGTGTTATGGTTAGCTGTTCGTCCGGCGTGAGTGTGGACGTGTGTTATATTTGTGTCTGCTCGTCTCCTGACGTGTGTGCGTGAGATGTCTCGTTGTGTTTTGGCCATGCCACGGTGCCGTACACAAGCCCTCGCTCGGTCGGTGCTGGACAGCGCTCACATGGATGTCGACTGGGTCTGAGGCGCTGACTGGATCCTTTCCTCCGTCCCTGTCTCCTCTCCATCCATCCATTCATCCTGTGGCAGACATGGGCCTGCTAAGCAGACTGTTGTTCATCTTGCTACATGACTGGAATTACAGATAGAGTACCCTACACAGAACACTGGGTGTGATGTGTGTGCTATGTATAGGGGGGGATAGTGAATGAGTACTTTTTTTTCCTTCTGCTGTTTATTCTTTATTAAAAATCTGGACTCAGAACTGGGTGAGCGTCCATCACCTACACTCCGAGGGATTCTATCTGACTTTTATCCTAAAAGGGAGAATCCAGGATTTAAACTCTAGAGCTGCGCTGGAAATCATCTCTATTTCTAAAGGACTCAAGAAGTCTGGGCCCAGCTGACCTGCGATGACTGAGCGGCGGGTCGGCACACGAGACAAGCAGGTCCTGCTCCCGGGCCGTCCCAGCTGGCTCGCCTGTTCAGAATGAAGAGTCACCCATGTGTTTACTCGGGGTATCCCAGCTTAGCTGTTTGTGGGGTGGGAGACCCCGGGCCTGGACCGTGCACTAGACCCCTGAAGCGGGCCCTTACTGACCCCCTGCCCTCCTGTCTTGCCCCTGCAGAGGAGGCCTACCAGAAACTGGCCACTGAGACCCTGGAGGAGCTGGACTGGTGCTTGGACCAGCTGGAGACGCTGCAGACGAGACACTCGGTCAGCGAGATGGCCTCCAACAAGGTGAGAATCAAATGTTTTTTTTAGAAACACCTTCACATTGTAGAAATGCATCTCATGACAAGAAGCTGCTCCCAGGGTTCACTGTTGGTTTTGTGTTGGCTCCATGAGATGTGTAATTGGTCTTTGGTTTGACTATTGTACAGAACACTAAGTGTACACATACACTAAAGTTGCACTTTTGTCAGTGTCTTCTACAGGTTGAGACTTACTTTTATACAGTATATAATCTAGAGTGGACTACAAAGCAGCACTTTTACAATTCCATTGACTTGAAATAGTCAAGCTTTTGGTTGTGACTGGTTTCAGTCAAACACATGCTTCTCCAGACAGCTTACCCCAAGGTTATACCCCTCTCATATGTTTCTGTGTTCCAGATTTTGTGTTGTCTGGCTTCTCAGGAGGGCTGAAATTGAGTTCCTGTCAGTATAATGCTCCTGTTCAGCACAACTTTATAAATATAGCATGGAACAGAGAGGTCCAGAACATCACGATMTGTTGATTTAATTGATTGTATTATGAGTAGTACAGTATAATATTAACTAAGAATTGCCCCTTTCTTTGTGTGGCCCTCTCTGGTGATTTGTCAAGTGTTTATCTATCCATGCTACGAGCTGTTCTTGTTACGTGCCTTTATGCCTGAATCTAAGCCCACGCTGGACTGCTTGTGTTGTTTTCATGTGTTTCAGTGATAGCATTGTCATGCAGGCAAGGACTTTAGGCTTTAGGTATGAGCATGCTCAGTTGCCTCTTGTGAGGAGGGGGGGTGACTGCTGCGTTGCTCCGAATGCTGATGAGCTCTGGGCTCCAGTGATGTCACACACTGTGATGTCACACGAAGTGGGACACACATAAAGGAGACACAGGGAGGACATGCACACAGAAGCACACATGTTCACGCTCTGGTGTTGCTGCAGCCACGTCCACCGCTCGTCCATCTGCCTCATTTAAACACAAGATTAGGAAGAAAAAGAAAAGATCAATGGTAACACGCTCTGCATCACCATTGCTCACCAGCAGAGCTATCTCTGGTTGTCATGGTAACAGCCACCCTGCTATCTCTCTCTCTCCAGCGACTCACATACATACACAAACAGAACAGGTAGCGTTACGTCTCCGGCGCTTAGCAATTACTTTGAGTCTGCAGTCTGCGGGCTGGGCTTTAACAGCTCTCAGCGTAACTCTTAGCCCATTAATAAAGAATCTGGTTTCATTTGTTTGCTGCAACATCTGCACGTCTTGTGCCCTAAATGAGGACCTTTTCCTCTGAATTTCCACAAAAGGGTTTGAGTAGTCTGTTTGCACTCAACACTCTTGCTGCCCTTGGGTCATTTTGACTTAATTTTAAAAGTGAGGGCTCAGGGGTCATTTTGATCCAAGGACAGCAGGAGGGTCAAAGACGTTTCCACTTTAAATCTGGCACATTCACTCTCCAGCTAAAAGACGAGACTAGTTTGCCTGTAAATTATGTCTATTTTTTTTTTATAAATTTCTTTCATTTTGAAATAAATTTCTGTCAAGGCAACAGATTCACTGTTTAAGTCCTCTGGTTTCCACCCTGTGTGTGGGTGTAAGTCTCCCTCTGGCTGCCTATGAGAACAGTGTGTGCTGGTCAAATCTGGTCAAAATTTTCGGAGGTCGCTCCAAAGAGCAAAGGGGTGAAATGGCAGACAGACTTCTTATTTTTTTTAACCAAAGCCTTTTCTCGTAATATTTTGTTAAATATCAGGATTGTATTGACTGTAAAGCCCAACCACTTGAGTAAAATGAATAAATATATTTATATTTGATTTTTGAACGGCGCAAAAACTCTGCCCATTTGATCCCATCTATGTTTCCACACTAAACACACTGGCATTCCCTGAAGGATTTTACATCACCCGCCACATTTCRTACAAATGTTTTAAACAAAAGACGTCTTGTGATGAACAGGAGCAGAGTTACAGCTGCTTTAGCCAAACCTTGTAAGACATTATGCATAATCTCATAAAAAATTGTGAGATTTCGCTAGATGTGTTAGCACTCAGAGCATATGTTGTAGATAACTACCTGTTACTACCACATCAACCTTTAGCTCAATATCTGAAAGTGTGTTCCAGTTATAGCTGTTTATGTTTGCTACGGTTGATGTTGCTGTGGTAGCCATCTTGAATTAGGTTCGTTCCAAAAGTTAATCAGTTGAAGATGTGCACAGATTGATTTTTAATAGTTGTGTTAAAAACTATCCAGTAGTTCTGCTAACAAACATACAGTTGAGTTTACTAATTAATGGCAGTCGTGCAACCAGTTAGCAATTATAATATGTTTGGGGTAACTCTCAGCTGCTACCACACTGAATTTAAACACAGTACTTACAAAACTGGTTGAGTTATAGACATTTTTGCTTAGAATGCTTAGCTGTGGCGGCCATCTTGAATCAGTTGTAGATKTAAAGAATCAGTTGTTTTGCAAGTTTCATAAGAAATGATTTGGTGGTTCATGCAATATTTTTTGCTAAAGGTAAATGATCTCACACACAGGAAAAAACCTCATCACCATTTTGCCTTCAGAGCAGATGATAATAAACAGTTAAACTTCAGTTAGTCAGTAATCTGTTGGGGTTTGTGAAGGAGTATTTAGATCTTGTAGCTCTTTTTTGTGCACGTTTCAGTTTTTAGTGTAACTGTTCTCCTGATCTGTGTTGCAGCGTCAAACATCGTTTTACCTTCAGCTGCCTTTAAACTGGGTCAACACTGCATTGGTAGTTTGTTTATTCCACTTCTAAAAGTCACTGGATAAGCTCTGAAAGTTCCCAGTACTTAAAGTTTCTGTGACGTTTGAGTCTGTTTCTCTAAAGTTCTTCTTTTAAGTTAAAGATCCAGATCAAGAATAGACTGAAGACTCATTTCTCACAGTTAGCCGAGTCTTCAATGAGGACGGTCACCGCAGTTGTCTGTATTATGACGAGTGGGGGTGTCTGTTCCCAGAATAAATGATAAATGTGAGGAAAAAAAAACATCAAAAAGAGATCTGGAGGTGTCAAGGGTTATGTACAGAAGGGAATGTGTATTTTTAGTCGCTCCGCCGAGGAACAAATTACACACAAGTCACAGCTAAGATAGGTGTGACACTTTCCAATTTTTACCCAATAGTCTGTGCTCACACCTCCTGACTAAACTAGCGCTTTGTGTGTTTGTGTGTGTCCTTGTGTTGGTGACAGCGAAAGCGAGTTGTATGGGGTGTCTCCAGGAGTTATATCTGTGTGTATGTTTACTGTAAGTCTATATATGTGAACAGACAGGCCGATATTAGACAGGAAATGACTTGTGAGCGTGAATGTGAATGTGGGGGTGTGCCTGTGCCGGCCCGCTTAGCTTTGAGTCCGACTCAAGCCACTAGATCTCTGTTAGAAGGGGGTCTCATCTGCTCCACTGTAGCTGTAAATTACTCCCTGTAGCAAGGTGGGCTTTAGGGGTGGGGGTGTAAAGTAAGCAGCGACAGCTTTGGTCTCCTTTCAATCCATGCGACCGCTGGTCCTGTGCAGAAAGTCTGCACATGCATGTGCACATAGACTGATAAACAACAACACCTCAGCTGTAAACAGATTTACTGGCTGTAAAACGGATTCAGGATTCAGTCGTCACAACGAAAAACCAAACTCTGGAATTTAAAAAAGTGCATTTTAATAAATATTTTTATTTATTTATTTGTTTGGATTTTTAGATCTCTCATCAGAACATCTTCTATCTTTTTCACAGTGAAAGAATCAAAAATGCATATGCCATTAATGAGACACTACTTCCCAATTAATTAATTAATTGTTTCTGAAGTAAATAAAAAATGAATAAAAAATAAGTAAATAAATACATCAATCAATAAATAAATAAATGTAATTTCATTGTGCTCCGTACAATGACAATAAAGTCATCATCAATCAATCAATCAATCAATCAGTCAATCAAATACATTTTCAAGTTGCAGTCATGCTCTAATAATATTATTTATCTGTGACGCTGTCATCTAAACTCTCAAATAGTTTCAATCTTTGGAAGAAAGGCCTGCAAAACAATTCTCTTTGCAAATATTCAAATAATTTTGTTTTTGTACCAATATCTAGAAATGTTTATTTTTTTTAAACTGTAATTTAGATTGTGTAATTAAAATCTTGCTTAAGTCACAAATGTTTAGTCATTTAATTTATATGATCAGTTATTCAACTGGGGTGTAAGAATATATGGATGCACTGAAATATTTTAATATTTCATTTCCTGAAACTGTATAGATTCTCAAAAGCATTGCATCAATTGTTAATTAAGGCTTAATGGATTAATGTATTGATTTAATCAGATTTTATGCATGTAATACTTAATGTGCTCTTTATACTGAGGTTTTTTTAATTTAAATTATTTGAGCAAAAGATGGTAATATCACCCTGTGTACAGTAGCACGATATGTTGCAATATGTCATGACACCTGTGTTTTGCCAAATTCTTGCCAATGAACAGCTCTGCTACAGGTATTCATAGCTTGATCACCTCTCTGTAACTTTGAATGTCTAAAGAGAAGCTGACTGGTTGACCTTACTCCTAACGAAGTGTGGATTTTAAGATCAGTTGAAGATGGAGGTAATTCCACTATAAAGTCTTAGAATACACAAATAAAATCCTAAAAATAGACACAAAACCAGTGAAGAAATGCTAAAACCAGAATTATGTGTTTGTCCTTCTTTTTCACAAGCTAAAAAATGGACTGTGAACAGTTTGTGTATGATGCAGAGATAATTAATTTGGACTGACACACAGAGCATTACACTAGTCTAGACATGAGGTGATAAAAGTATAAATAACCTTTTCATTGTCCTTGAAGGAGATCCTGCTTCACCTTGGTGATAAGTTTGAGCTGGAAAGCCCTTGATTTAACAACGGCACTAATATAACAACATATTCTGGTTAATAAGACTCTGTGGTTTAATACAACACAATGAAATTAATTTACTGTTAATTTTATATGAACTTCATGCTTTATGCTATTTATAATGTCAGGGCCAGGGATTATACAGTGTAATGATTGAAAATACGTATTTAAATTGTATCATATTTAATCTCTGCTTTTTTGTTATTATTGGCCTTTTTTGGATTTTTTTTTTCTCGTTAAGGTTTGAAATCATGGTTTTAATAACTTTTGCTATAAAGCAGCAAAAGCTAATTAACAAACACAGTAAAACTGTCTCATTTTTGAGATTTGTCAGATTACTTCTACACGCCACACGGCATTAATTTTCTGCTGCTGACCCGGTCGTATAAATAAATGGAGCAGAAATTAAAAGTAAACAAGCTGAACGTTCTGTTCAATGTTCTCATCCTACTTGATGAGAAACTGAACGCTCATCACTAGTGGAAAAAAAATGATGAAAAGGTTTTATTCTGTTCTTCTGACTAAAGCAACAACCTCTCGAGCGGAGTAGAAAAAAAACACGGCGAGGTGTGTGGACACAACTCTTTTTGTCCGACTGAGCCCACTTCACATAACCGTGACGCTCATTCTTTATTTTTAATTTTTTTTTTCAAGAATAATGTGTGTATTTACATCATCTCATCAGTGATGTTAGCGTGACTCACCTCCTATGGATGCTGGGATTGAGGGTGACCTCAGTTTGTATCATGTTTGATGAGGTAACCTGTTTTATTTTTCCCCTCCTTGCGCTGTACAAAAGCTTAAACCAGCCAACATATAAACACGTTGGCACATCCTGTTGCATGTAACACGTATAAACACACATGGACACACAATAACACCCTGCCTGCACTGCAAGAATTAAAAGGAGAAGCAGGGGAAGGGGGTYGATTTTTCCACAGACTTCGRCGGAGGCCAATCAAACAGTGGGTCGCCTCACGTTTGGTCCGATCCAGGCCAATTAGAGGTGATGATGAGCTCACACGCCTTTCCCTATCCGGGCCCTGATTTGCTGCTGTTGTGTGACACGGTGAGAGAGGCAGCCTGTGATCTTCACATGGGAGCGTGTGTCATACACACAGAAGTAGGCAAGCCAGTCCTGTTTGGGAGGAGTTGATAGGAAAAAAAAAATAAAGTTGGTGTCCTGTTGCTTTGGCATACACCAGCATCCGCTCCGTCGTCATTTATTCAAAGCCTCAGCGGCGTGTCCCTGGATCTGAGTGTGCGCGTTGCATTTGTTCATGCACGCGCACAATATGCTCTCCTTTGGATTCTTTTTTTTTTTTTTGGAAGCCACGTTTGTGTCATATCTACCAGAAAATTCTTTTTTTTTTTTTCTCCGCTCTGCTTTCTGGGGCATCGGCACATTTTTGTGGATGTTGGCAGGACATGGAGCTTCAGCTGTGGACTCTGAGCTGAGCTCCTAAGTCTCCTAAGGTTGCGGTTTGTTATCTGGAGAGAAGTGCGGACCGCTTTTTTGCTTTTAAACAACGGAGTGCTTTACATCACCTGAACACAGCACGGGGCTAGAAACTGTTTCTGTTTCTGGATCTGCTTTGTTGATTTGTCAAAATGCCTGAAGCAAATTATCTCCTCTCTGTCTCCTGGGGGTATATAAAGGTAAGAAACAGTGTTTTAGTTAAACGCTCCTGGTTTCAGACTTGCACAATAAGACTTTCAAGGGTGGATGTTTTTTATTCTTGAGACAGATTTGGATGCAGCACGATATGAACACAAATATGCTAAATATAGCACCTCTCCAACACGTCGAGCACGAAACAACGCTTCATGCTGTAACTGTTCTGGGTCTGTTATCCACGTTGACGAATCTGCGAGGGGAAGAGCTGAACACGTTTGAACAGTGCTGCGGCAGAAAAGCACGCTCACGTTTTTAATGGATTTTGGGTTTAAAACTTTTGAAAATGTTCAGGTGTTTGGTTGTTATTTTAAGATTTTTGGACAAAAAAAGAAAGAAATGCCAGATCTTTCCGTTTTTTATTATTATTATTTTTTGGGTCAACAGCCCTCCCAGTGGTAGAGCTGTTCTGTACTTTTATGACGTAATGAGGAGTTGTTGTTTTTTTTTTTCAGCAGGTGACGTCAAACTCCTAAAAAAAGACTTAATTTCTCTGATGACACTGTATTATTTAAGTATTGATTTGAAGATCATGCTACATGTGCGGTACATTTAGTAGCTCTTACAGATCTTTCTGCCTGGTGCATCTGATAAATGTTTGCAATACCAACGTTTAGGCTGGTTATCAAATAAATTCACTGACTTTTAATCTGAGGGATGTTAGGGTTTGTTTCGTAACTTTGATGTTTTGCAACCAGACGAGAAAATCCCTGATTTCATCGATCTGTTTGCTGGTCACATCAAAGGGCCAGAGCTAAATTAGAGTCTGTCGCTTGGGTTAAAGCAGCGGGAGGAGGGGGTGCGGGACACGGTGAGGGAAATCAGAAGGCTAGCAGGGTGGGAGGGAAAAAATTGAGACGAGGAAAACGAATGATTGTTTACATGTGTGTGTGGTTGTGGGGTGTGCATAAAAAAGTGACTCCTGGGAGCAACTTCTGTGAAATGACTGGAAGTTTTAAAGTTGAAGTGTGGTACGCTGAAACACAACTAAAGTCTAAAGGTTTATTTTGCTTTCCGTGTCCTTTGTCAGAATACAAATTACTCATTTTGCACCTCGGAGTACCAGCTGTAAAAGCAAATAATTGTAATTCCTCTGTTCTGTATTACAAAGCACCAAATCTAATGTGTGTGTGTGTGTGTGTGTGTTTCAGTTTAAGAGGATGTTGAATCGGGAGCTGACTCACCTCTCAGAGATGAGCCGCTCAGGGAACCAGGTGTCTGAGTTCATCTCCAACACATTTCTGGGTAAGTGATGACACAGGAGTTATTTGAAATACTTTTGGAGAGAGGAAAAAAAACATCTTTTTTTGGTTCTGTGCCCTCTTTTTGGTGCAGACAAGCAGCATGAAGTGGAGATGCCGTCCCCGCAGACGCAGAAGGAGAAGGAGAAGAAGAACAAACCCATGTCTCAGATCAGCGGGGTGAAAAAGCTGCAGCACTCGTCGAGCCTCACAAACTCCAACATCCCGCGCTTTGGTGTCAAAACCGAGACCGAGGATGAGCTGGCCAAGGTGTGTTTGGGTGCTCTGTAGACACAAATATGACCGAGACGGGTTCAAAAAAATAGTTTATGTCTGACCGTGTCTCTAAATGTCTTGCAGGAGCTGGAACACGTGAATAAATGGGGCCTTAACCTCTTTAAAATCTCAGAATTCTCTGGGAACCGACCGCTGACAGTCATGATGTACACAATATTTCAGGTAAAAGCTCACTTTTTAAATTTTTTTCAAGACAAAATCAACTTTGTTGTAGATTATATACAACAGGCGCAGATACTATAAGATTTTTTTTCTTCTTTCTGCCCCCTTTCATTTTATTTGTGACTTGTATTTTTATTGTATGTAAATTTATTTTATTTTAAAGAAATGAATAAAGTCTAAAAAAAATAAAACTTTTATAATAAAAAAATGTGCTCGCATTGTCTGATTTTCAGGAGAGGGACTTGTTAAAAACGTTTAAAATTCCACTCGACACCTTTATAACCTACCTGATGACCTTAGAGGACCATTATCACAGCGACGTGGCGTACCACAACAACATCCACGCCGCTGACGTCACGCAGTCGACTCACGTGCTGCTCTCCACCCCTGCCCTGGAGGTGAGCTTTCAACAATCGCAGCTCTGCTCGGAGGCCGAATCGGTGCTCGGCCTCCTCCCGCCTGTGCTTCATTGCCTCTCCCTCGTCTTCCTCCTCCAGGCCGTGTTCACAGACCTCGAGATCCTAGCTGCCATCTTTGCCAGCGCAATTCACGACGTGGACCATCCTGGAGTCTCAAACCAGTTCCTCATCAACACCAGTAAGTCCAAACAGGTTTCTCTCAGTAGCAGGTTCACAATATAAACATTCACTTTGCTGGTTCCTCTTTTACCGTCATATGTTTAGGACRATACTGGCTGTGTGCAAGTTCAGGGGCCGGGTCTTTCTAAGGAGCTGGCCTACCYGCGTCCTTGGTAGACAACAAAGACTGGAAAAAAGTGCTTTATTCCTGCCCTTATCCCGGCGTATGACCTGTTGCTTACCAACAGGGACATAAACAGAAGGAAAAATAGATCAAAATTAGCAACATAATTTATTAGTATTATTACCAGTAATGTCCCAAAACAACAAATTTAGCTTAAAGGTCATATTTGAAGAACTAAACATGCACAGTTCTTTAGTTACACCAGTTCTTTTGATTTCTGACAAGAATAATATTAAAAAAACTTGTTCATACAAATGACAAAAACATTAACAACACAACCGCTTGAAACTTTTAAGTTTTATACCATCCATCCGTTTTCTGCCACTTATCCATCATAAGGGTGATGGATCATAAGGGGTTGGGTCATGGGGGCAGCAGCCTAAGCAGAGAGACCCAGACTTCCCTCTCCCCAGCCACTTGGGCCGGCTCATCCAGGGGAATCCAAAGGCGTTCCCAGGCCAGCTGAGAAACATAGTCCCTCCAGCGTGTCCTGGGTCTTCCTCTGGGCCTCCTCCCAATGGGAAGTGCCTGGAACACCTCACCAGGGAGGCGTCCAGGAGGCATCCTTACCAGATGCCCGAGCCACCTCAACTGGCTCCTCTCGATGTGGAGGAGCAGCGGCTCTACTCTGAGTCCCTCCTGGATGACCGAACTTCTCACCCTATCTCTAAGGGAGAGCCCAGACACCCTGTAGAGGAAACATTCCGGCTGCTTGTATCCGCRATCTCGTTCTTTCGGTCACTACCCAAAGTTCGTGACCATAGATAAGAGTAGTTTTATACCATCATTTTTTATTTATAACTGCTCTCCTTTCTCTAATTTCGTCTGCCATTACGAGTAGAAAGAAAAATCTCAGGTCGGCCTGCAATGCATTATGGGGTAGGGTGGGTCGAGAAGGATCCATTGGACCTGTCCCTCAAATCAAAGACGCATTTGTGGGTCGCATCAGTGGAGTCGTCAAATTTGTACAGCCTCCGGCACGGTGCTGTGATGTAAGCAGCTGACAAATTCGGCCTTCAGAGGAACGCTTCCCCTGAATTTGGACACATCCAATGTTTCCCACATGAACCAAATTCATGCATTTTTACTGCACCTGTGTAGAAATATTCAGTCATCAAACACAATTTTTGTACATGCAAATCTATTTGATGTGAGGGCAGCCTTGATTCAGACACATAAATCACATCAAGCAGGGATGTCCAAAGTGTGGCAGGGRGGCATTTGTGGCCCCTGAAGTGATTTTGTGTGGCCCCTGACATCAATTCAACAATTATACTAATTTGTTTACAAATTTATCACCCCGGAACAGGTGTTTGATGTGGATGGAGACTTTCTATTTATTATTAGGGCAAATTTATCACAAAGTAAAATCTAATAACAAATATTGGCAACAATACCAATTATTTGTCTTTAAATAACCAGACTCGTAGCTTTTTCCACATCTAGTGACTTCTAAAGCTGATTTTGCTGCACTCCAATCTGCTTTAAATTAATTTATTAAATTCGTTTGAACACAGCAAGCATTTTCAACAAAAGAGTGACCTAAATCCTGATTTTATTGATCAGAATTGACTAAATTGGGTTATTTTTTCCCCAATTGAAACCTAGAAAATTGCTAAATTTCTTTCAATAAGGGAAACCTGCAAAACACTTAAAGTTCTGGATCTAGATTAATTGGCATATCCATTTCCAGCAATAAATCTGACTACTTTATTTGTTTAATTAAAGTATTCAATGCTTAGTTTATTGTTGAGCAGGTAAAGGAAAAATATTTTTGCACCTCAAGTCCTTCTGACTTTATGGTTTTGGGCCACGTAACAAAATGTTTGGACACCCCTGACATAAATCAATAAGACAAGATTTCTTGTTACCATTGTTAATCATTCTGAATTGTATCTTTGCTTCCTTTATCATGTAATTTTATTCCACATGCATGCTCTTTTATGGACTTAAAAAGCAAATTTCCAGTCATCTTTAACTAAAGGTGTGGGCAGAAATCATAAAAATTAAAACCAGCGTGACTCACACTCTCCAGGGTTTGTGTTGGAAGTGGGTAAACTGAGCTAAAAAAGAAAACAATAAAAAAAACTGACTTGCCGGGGTAATGGTGTTGTGTTTGTAAATGTGTCCTCGAGCAGGAATTTAAACCCCCGTTATCTCTCTTTAACTGACTCACTGCCGCCCAGCTCGAGGCACTGCAGACGTCGCCCTAATTTGGCGATTTCGCAGCAAAGCGCGCAGTTTATGTCCACCGGGCGTCGCTTCGAGCAGACCCATTCTCCAGACAAATGTGAACGAAATGTAAGAGTGTTACTAATCGGCACAGGAAAGGCTCTCTGCAGTCTCCTACACCTCACACACACGTTGTGTAGTCAAACAGGGAATCCCTGCAGTAAAGACGGTATGAGTCATCCTGGTTAGGAGCCACCCAACTCATCTTCTGTCAACTAAAGAGCAACAAACAAGGATTCCCTTTTGTTTACCCCCTTTTAGCTGTTTTCCACGGCAGCCGACATTAATACATCCTAATGGCCAGTCCAAACAGCCAGTCCTTCAAATGATCCAGACAGGGAAGCATTTAGGGGCTCAATATTTAAAGGAGACATATCATGCTAAATGCACTTGTTTTGCATTTATAAACTATTTTTTGTGCAATTATAGTGTCTGGGAGTGTAGAAAACTTTAATTTATTCTGTCCAGTTACTGCAAAAATATTTTTATATAATTTTATGGGTAAAATTTTTTAATTTGCTCAAAATCTGCTGTTGCTTATTTCGTTTCATYGTTTATTTCGTCATTTTTTTCTTCGGAACTACCATTTATGGTAATGTATTTCATTACCATATATAATATCATATGCATTCATTTTTGTACTGTACTTTACGATGTATATATGTATATAAATAAGCATATGTGTTTATCTATATGTGTATATGTGCATTGGTACTTTACTATATATCATGTGTATATTGTGGGGTTTTGTTTATATTTTATTAATCTTTCATTATTCTTCTCAGCCTCTCATATTAAGCTGCAGTAATGTGCAAATTTCCAGACTGTGGGATCAATAAAGTTTTATCTTATCTTATTTTATCTTAAAAACAGTTTTTAGTCGGTAGATAACTGTTTTTGCTATGAAACTACAAATATGGCCGAACGGGGTGGAGTCGAACGCTCAGCGACCTGGAGGGGGCGGGGTGTGAAATATCTCATTTATATTTAAAGGGACCGCACCAAAACAGCTTGCTCTGAGGCGCAACTCACAACAGGGGTAAAGCAAGGAAAGAAAGAAGTCTGTGGAGCAACAAAAACGAGGAATTAAGACCAAAGCGTTGCAGTTTTATTTTAAATAGACCATAAGTGAATGATTTAGATGTGAAAAAGAAGGATTTAAAAGCACAATATGATACCTTTAATGTATTTTCAGCTTCTAATGGTAAAAGCATGATTCTTGTAAAGTAAAGTAACAGAGTGTGTCCTCCCTGCAGATTCTGAGCTAGCCTTGATGTACAACGACTCATCAGTGTTGGAGAATCACCATTTAGCCGTTGGTTTTAAGCTACTACAAGAGGAGAACTGTGACATCTTCCAAAACTTGACCAAAAAACAGCGACAATCACTGCGAAAGATGGTCATCGACATCGTAAGTAGGAAAAAATGGCACTAAGTGGATGTTTGTTTGTTTTGTTTTTGTTTTAATTCTGTTTATAAATGGGTTTACCACTGCAACCGTGTGTTTTGCTTCGGTTTACTGTAGGTGCTAGCTACAGACATGTCCAAACACATGAACCTGCTGGCTGATCTGAAAACAATGGTGGAAACAAAGAAAGTGACCAGCTCTGGTGTGCTGCTTCTGGACAACTACTCCGATAGGATACAGGTGAGCCGGGCCCAGCCGTGCTGTCTAAAACGAGTCCCTCTGCTTACAAACAATACATCATCATGTCTGATAAAGTGCTGTATAAGTTCAGTCCATTTACATCCTGAGTCATTTTTTTATACCGAGCCGCACAGAACAAAGAATCGGACCACATATTTCCAGCGCTGAACATTTGTTGCTCACCGGCTCCGCTGAACCCTTCCCTATACCATGTGTTTTGACCCCCACCCCCCTCCCCTCCTTAGCTGACTGCACTATTTGCAGAGTAGTTTTTTTGAGCGCATGTTTGTGTGTTTTCTGTATAAAACACAGGATCAAAGCTATTTTTTTAACTCACCCTTCCTATTGTGTGTGTATTCTAAGCTGCAAAGGTARCGCACTACGTTGCGAAAGACCCTGGATATTCGTTCTCCCATGTYTGTCATGTGTGTGTGTTTTTCTTCGGAAGGATGTTCTAAACTGCAAATTTCATTCTGCACTGCATCTTGATGTTGTGTGAATGACAATAAAGATTCTGATTCTGATTCTTATTCTGATTCTACTTGTTTTTCATCAGGTTCTCCAAAACATGGTGCACTGCGCGGACCTGAGCAACCCCACCAAGCCCCTGCAGCTGTACCGACAGTGGACCGACCGCATCATGGAGGAGTTTTTCAGCCAAGGTGACAGAGAAAGGGAGCGAGGCATGGAGATCAGCCCCATGTGCGACAAACACAACGCCTCCGTGGAGAAGAGCCAGGTAAGGAGTGCAGCCGCGGAAACGTCACGGCGCAAATCTAACACCAACTAAGGTCCTGCTTTTCCCCCTCACGCTGTCTGCAGGTGGGCTTCATAGACTATATTGTCCACCCGCTGTGGGAGACGTGGGCCGACCTGGTCCACCCCGACGCCCAGGACATCCTGGACACTTTGGAAGACAACAGAGAGTGGTACCAAAGCACTATCCCCCAAAGTCCGTCGCCGGCTTTGGACGAGCCAGAGGACGGCACTCGACCCCCCGGAGGGGAGAAGTTCCAGTTCGAGCTCACCCTGGAGGAGGACGGCGAGTCGGACACTGAGAAGGACAGTGGCAGCCAGCCAGAGGAAGAGGAGGAGGACGAGGAAGAGGAGAACAGCTGTACTGACTCAAAAACGCTCTGTACGCAGGACTCCGAATCCACAGAGATCCCTTTGGACGAACAGGTGGGGGAGGATGAGGAGGAGGAGGAGGTGGCAGAGGAGGGGGAAACCCCCTGCTCACAAGCGAGTGCTGTAGAAGAAGATGTAGCAGAGGAGCAGGAAGAGGAAGAGCAGAAATCTCCCGACACATAGCAGTTACAGACAGCACCTGATTAACTGCTCTTCTTAGTAACAGATATAATATTTATAGAAATTTTTTTTTTGAGTTTTGTGAACTTTGTTTTATTTTGTTTTTATACATCTCCGTTTCTGGTTCCGAAGCGTGCGCTGCTCTCCACCTTTTGGCCACTCCTCTCCTCAGCTTGATTTCGACACGCCCATCGGTACTACTTCAAATTTTTTTGCACTCAGGAAAACCTCCTCTTTCATTCCCATTCGTACTGAAGTGGTGTGTCTTTTCTTTCCCTCTGACTCCTCTGTTCTACCTTACGTTTCGGACGCAGACAGGTAGTGTCGGTCTGCTCCAGTGCTGCTCATCAACGACATCCTTTCTCTTGTCTTTCTGCTTCGTCTCAGCCTTGCCTGACCGTTCTGTACAGTGTCTTTTTTTCTGTCTCATGAAGTGCCGATAACTCCTAAAGTGACGGTTATTGGTGAGAATCTCCCGTTTTTTTTTATTTTTTTATTTTTTATTTTTTTAATTTTTTGTTTGTTTTGTTTTTGGTTAGGTCACATTCTCCCCACTATGAATTAGGAAGCATGTTAGTGCTGCCGTCCTGCTGAGAACCTGACAGTGTGCTGCAGGAATGGTAGCTGCAGCACAAAACGGGAGCTTTTTCAAAACACATTTGTGATGTGGAAGTCTTCCTTGTAAACCCGACTGACAAAAAGCTTCAACCTGAGCGGTGGTGATGCCGTYCTAGACCTCTTTTAATTTTTGTACTGTATTTAAGAGTCAGAAATTTTCTAGAATTTTACTTTTGCAAACCGAGGCTTTTCTTTTTGTTAACAGAGAAGGGGACGAGGGACCTTTTGGAAAACCAACAGGGAGAAACGTGATATTCAGTGTTCTGAAGAGTCATCTCGACAGTTGGATCATATGAGAGTTCAGATCCTTTTGCACTTGCTCCAATAGCATTTATACTACTTTTACCATACCACTATATTCACTTTCATTTAGTCCTGTGTGATGAGATTTGATTATTATTATTATTATTTAAAGAACGGTCATTTTGTTGAGAGCTTTCCCTGAGAGGGTCTTCTGCTTTCCGTCTCATGGAGTTGTTAATGACTTGGACGAAGCCCTTAAATTTTATTATTGTTGCCTGTAGTTCTTTTGAACACATCCTGAGACAATGCAATGCTTTGTAGTTACAATACAAAAAAGCACCTTTTTTAGATGTTTGATTAGTGCTCCACGTGTTTAGAGATAGAAATGTTGTTAAAAATGGCTAGGGTAATTTTATAACAATCTTATGAAAACGTTCTTTTACTTTTCTCCATCGGTTTGACTGAAAACAAGCAGGAGATGCTTGTCTTTAAAGGGGGGGATAGATCAGATGTTTTGAAGTTGGGCTCTGTGGAAGTGTTATGAACAATGAATATTTTACCTGCTTGAGATGGCTCTTTGAGCAATTTCAGTTTGGAGAAGTAGCATTTATTCTGACTGGAGTGACAAGCTAATGATTAATTTTAGAGTTTGGTCAGGACCAGAGTGGATTGCTCTATTCGTAAAACAACTGCTTTATGAAAATGTTAAACATTTACGCCACCATAATTTAGGCAGTGGTGGGCACAGCTAACCAAAATGTTTGCTTTACTGACCACTAATCTGCTGAGCAAGACTCTTAACACTAAAACATGCAAAAAATTAGTGGGAGCTAATGCTAGCTGCTAACACGACTGTCACGTAGCTTGTGTCACACATCTTCATCTCTGGTGGGACTGATGCAAACCTGTTGGTAGTTTTCTATTTGTTTAATTTGAAGGTGGGTGGGATCGTTTGTAGCAAACCGGCCAATCCGAACCACAGTTATAGCTCTGTTGTGATACTTCCATTTTAACCCTTTCAGAACAAAGCATTTCTTTGATCGAGTTTGTATTTTTATACCGTTTGACGTTAATCAAAAAACAAATAGCAAGTACTTTCTTGACCAAATTTTATACGTAGTCAGTTTTTGTATTTGTAATTTAACAATTGTTAAATGTTTTATTTTCTAAATTGGGTTCTTTTAGCTGAACCTAATTTAGCAGAAGCTAATCGTCCGCTAATGGTTTCCAAAGTTGGCAAAAACAACACAAATCAGCTAAATGAGAAGCTATTTCTGCTATTAGCGGATTAGCAGAACTGTGCCCACCACTGAATTTGTGTTACATGTTTATTGTGGGAGGATATTCATCTAGTAAATCTGCCGTGGTGCTAGCAAAAAACAAATACATGTAATCTTTTGTATATAACTTTATTTTAAACTGGCAGAAATGTTAATGTTGTTAACACAGCAGTACCCCACTTTGGTCCTGGCCCTGCTCAGACTAGCTTTTAGCTCGTCGGTCCAACCAGAGTTAAACTCTATTTTTCAGGGCTGAGCTGATTCAAAGAGCTATCTACAACAGATAGGATACTAACTGTTCATAAAATTTCTGCAGAGTCAAAAGCTGAACTATTTTTAAATGATTTTGTTAATACTGTATTTATTTAGCCATGCCATTAGCTTCAGTTCACTGTCTTTGTTTTCAACAAGACAATCAGCTTCATAGCATTAAAACCACAGACAATTCTCCACGTAGATACTTTAATGCACTAGTCAACTCATGTACTACATCCTAATATTTAGGTGATTTAAACTCACTCTTAAACACAGGTGTAAACATCTGCCAAGTCCATTCGTTTTCCATGTTTGTTGGCATTTGAAATCCCTTAAACCCAATGCTATTATTTATTGCTCTATTTTTCTACATGTTTTGCAATATGAAGGTGGTACAGTCAGGATTTCACTGTAGCGTAGACCACAATACAGGCTTGCCAGTTATAGAACCCAAATATACTTTTGTTTCCCCTGTATATATTGTATTTTAGAAAAAGTTCACTATTGTAAAAAAGAAAAAAGGAAAAAAAACTTGAAACACTGCACACTGCTTTTTTTTATTTAACAAAAAAGAGTTATTGTTTTAATATATCTTTTATTTTGTGCCAACATTTTTTTTTCCATCCTCACCCAATGCCCTTACCTGTAATAATAAAAAAAAAATCTGGTTTATTGCTGTTTACAAACATATATTTATTGTGCTGTACATACTATATAGTTATTAATGTTATTACTATCATAATGCAGTTTGCTGTAAATGGTTGATTCTTATCATCCCTTTTGGTGATGGTGTGGCTGTATCACGTACCTCTTGTTGAGAGAATGTTTATTACACAGGAGCTTTGGTGTAAAAGAAAAAGAAAAAAAATGATCCATCGACTTGTTGCTTACCTGAGAATTTGCTCAGAAACGAGAGAGGGGAAGCCAATTTTATTTTTATTTAATTAATTTTTTTAGAGAAGCTGTTCCTTGGCCCATGGGCTGTGCCTTAAAGTCAATACATCATTTCCGTTCACCTTCTCTTTTATATATATATATATATATAAATATATAAAATTATTATCTAGTTCTCCTTTTGCTGCATTGGTGAATCTTTTGGCTTTGGTTGGCCTGATGTCTCGTGGAGAAAAGTTGCCTTTTCGTTCTCACAGCCAAACAGAACTTGCTCCGTCACACACGCGGTATGACTCCGGGTTGGAAACCTGCTGCACGTCGGCGCAGAGGTTCGTGGACACTTCAGGTTAACCAACAAGTGAAAGATTTGCTACAGGAGTGATTGTGGCCTGCAGCTGGATGTCTAAGAGTCGTACATGCTGGAGACCTGGTCTGAACCGCTCACACTTTAGTAGACTTTAAAGGAGGAACTTGGCTGTGTCGTCTGAGTTTTGGTCAGATCACAGCTGCGAACACTGAATACGTGTGTGTGTGTTTGTGCGTGCGTGCGTGCGTGCGTGTGTGTGTGTGTGTAGGATGACTGTGGCCCTACGAAGCACAGAGGCTTTGAGACACATCTGCATGTTCAGCCACTGCTGCATTAATTACGGCTGAAACACTGATGGTGTGTTGCTTATCTATGCTCGGCCCACACTTTCACTCGCATTACTTGCAATATCCAAAAAAATAAAAATAAAATAAAATAAAACACTGACATCTTTCTGCCGGGACAGAAGAGACGGTTTCGTTCTGTACAGTAAGAGGGGTGGGGGTGGGGGAGGTCGACTGCGTCATTGTCCTGAAAGCAGGACTCTTGTTTTGACACACATACTGTAGATCTGAAACAGCCCTGGACCAATGGAAATAGTGGGTTCTTTTCTCATTATCTGTTCTATTTTTTTATGATTTGAAAGGAAAACACAAACTGTAACTTTACCAACAACAACAGAAAAAAAAAGGTCTTCAGGACAACTATTTTTTTGGAGGTTTTTGTCTTTAGAATGCCAACTTGTCTGGACGTTTCACAGGACAATTAAAATGTTATTTTATTGGATTCCTTGTTAATTGCAGTTTATTGGATAGCACTGTAGATCATACAACTTTATCTAAAAAACTTAAAAAGAATTAAAAAAGTTTTTATATGCAATGGATTAAATAAAAGCATGGGTTGATTTTGCCTACATTCTGTCTGCTTGTTTTCATTCTTTCAGGCATTTTGAGTGTGGAGTGAATCCTGCGTGCGTGCGTGCGTGCGTGCGTGTGTGTGTGTGTGTGTGTGTGTGTGTGTGTGTGTGTGTGTGTGTGTGTAAGACTATGAGAGGAGAGGAACCCTGAGTGACTGGATTTATTGCAAAATATCTAAAGTTGTATTTGCATACAATTGTTAATGTTTTACTTAAATCAGGCACTTTTGACAGCAATGAAAGGAGATTCTCCTTTTTTAAATTTTCAAATCTGACCTTAGTAACTCTCCGTTCTGTTTCAGAYCTGGATCACTCAGGTCCTTCACTCAGTTTTCTTGAAGTTACTTCATTTTTTTTTCCTGCTGAAATGATTTGAGTCTTGATAAAAACTGCAAATTTCTGCCTAGTCTGAGCTCCTCGTTACTATGGGAGGGTGAAATGTTTTCTCTATAAGTCACATTAATTGATTTTTTAAATCAATTTATGACTATTTACAATTATAGCAAAATACTATTAACAATATATCTTTCAATCTGATTTTTAGATTGATCTCATAATATGCAGTATGCCTGAGCTTCACTCATCCTGTAATAAAAACAAATCAAAACGATTTCTCACAATATCCAAGCTGCAAATCTTTAACYTCACCACAAGGTGGTGCTGTTTGTCTACAAATGGATTACAGTCATAAACTATAAAAAGAACAGAGCCATGCTGCTGAGCCACCAGGTTTGTTTAAAGGTCAGTAGCCACCAGATTTCTCCATCATGTCTTATCACATCTGAAGCAAACAGAAAACACAGAAACCAAATGATAGAATTTGAATTTATTTCCTATAATCTCAAAAACATACTCTTTACTTTGTTTGCACTCCAAGAAATATATTCAGTCATATGTAAAGTCTTAGTTTTCTAAAATGAGTTTTTTGGGTTTTTTTTTACCAGATTGACTGTTTGGCCGTCATTTTTCTGTGAAATTAATCTTGACTGAAGATCTATTATAATTGAATTCATGGTGACAGTTTGTACTATTACACACAGACAGATGCTAACTCGGAGTTTATACATGTGCCAACGCACAGGATCTTTGAACTAGTTCATGTTTCCCTTTTTTTCTCTTTTGTGAGTTTAAACAGTACGGCATATGGCATGGACTAAGTTATCTCCCTGTCTATCTTCACAACACTGCATGTTAACATGATAATAGGTCAGTCGACACCCAACAGATAGCAGGAACAGCATACAGCACGCAAATACATCGGTACAAAAGGTATACACAAACAATACACTTTATAACTGTAATTTATCTCTGCATTATGGCAGGTAAACACACACACACTTACACACTTACACACACGCACGTCAAGTCACAGAATCTGTGCCTGCAGGTTCTGAATGAAGCACCTCTTTCAGAGCGCAACATTTTCAGACCCATTTCGACCAATCAGCACTCACATACCACAGATAGGAGTTGTTGAACTCGAGGACAGAAGAAACTATTTACAGAATTTAATTCATAAAATATTGCACTTATTGGCCCTTTGCATCTCATAGCAAATGCTATGGAAATGCTCCTAAATCTGTTACACAGAGTGATATATACAGTGTCCTAAAACATAACTCTACACTGACAGGTGAGGACTGACGTCATGCATTTTTTTTATTTTCTGATTTAATTCAACTATGCAACAATTAACATTGCTAATAAAAAAAATGTAATGTTTTGGCACAAAAATTGTTTCCCCTATGAAGTTAATTAAACACTTTTTTAAAGCAGCTACAAGGTTTGCACTGATCGTTAAAGAAGGATGAAAAGCTTCCCCTAAGCAACTTAGTGAGATTTTCATTTTTATTTTTTTCTAAGACAGGATTTTATTTAACAGCACTAAACATGCCGGCTTAAAAATTTATGGCTGTTTATTCCATGCCAGGACACATCATCTGGTTTTGTCACACACGTTGCTGTGCTTTGAYGCCATGACACTTTCGTTTGATGGACTGCGGTGTCTTTGCTAACACATGGAGCTGAGGTCGAAGAGCTTTGGGAAAAGGCCTACCATTAGAAAAAAAACAGGACATACGCTTGACTTTTTTTTTTTTTTTTTTGGCAGCATGCTCTTTGAGTGAAACAGCAAAGGGGCTTCTTGCAGGCTGAGGACGATAACAGAGTTGCTTTTAAGATTTTAGGGTATAMTTATTGGAGTAAATGACACATGTAGAAACAGAAATATGGGGGGAAACTTCTCACGTCGACATTGTACAGAGTCRTTTCATTCCAACAGTACGCAGGACAGAGGGACTTAAACAGGGGCCGTGTTGGAGATGCTAAAAGGCCACTTTTTTTCCCCAAAGGTAGTTGACTTTTTTATGGCATTATGACGTGACATTAACACTCATGCAAATCCACGCTCACTTACTGTACAGTCACAGCCAGACGCTTATTATTACAGTCGTTACACGTAAGAAAGCCGCTACATCTTCTAGTGCTATAAATCAAAGATTTGGCAGCTTTACGAGTCAAAATAAAATAATAAAAAAAGTAAAAGGACATTTTGAACAACTTATTAAAGCAGTCACTGATTCTACCTTTCATCCTATTCCTAACAAGTTTAAAGGTCTTACCTGTGCAGTATGAGTGTGAACTATTTGAAACTCTGTCAAATATATTCGGTTTATTATTATACTAACTAGCTGAAGAGTAAGGATATTGTTCCGCTATGTTCTAGATAACCTGTGACGTTATGCATTTTACGTTAGCCGTGACTTGTTTCCTAGTTATTTGCTCTTTATATAAGGTGATAAAGTTTGGGAGACGATGCGACTTTTTACTACTAAAGAGTGTTTGAAGTGCAGTCCGGAGAAGGCAGCACAAGCAGAGTGAGGATGCTGCTCACTCGACCACCTAACAGGACCTGTGCGGCTTCCAAACGTCGGTCACTAACAGTTGCATCCGGGTTGTTGGAGGGGCGGGGCGCTGTCCGTCAGCTTGGCGGTGGGGGCTCCCGCGGTGACGGCCGGATCCGTGTCCAGGCTCTCGGACATCTTGTCGCAGATTAGGTCGACGAGACGTTCGAAGGTCTGCTTGACGTTGATGTTGTCCTTGGCGCTCGTCTCAAAGAACTCAAAACCTTGAGATGAGAACGTGAGACGTTGCGTTATGTGTAAAAATAAAAAATAAAAAATTAGGGCTGTATAATGATTAATATTTTTAATCTGATTAATCCCGAAGTAGCTGTGAATTGATCACGATTAATCTTAAATTTAACATACATTTCTATTGCATTTTGATAAAATTAATTACTTGAGTTTTTTTAGTTTTTAATGTTTTTATTTAGAAAACAAAACTGATGCTTAGATGTGGTTTTTTAATATAAAATAGGACCTAAAATGCTCCAAACATATTTGAGTCAGTTAAATTTTGTGCAGAATAATGGTTAAATCAAGAATTCAAGGATTTTCATTCCAAATGAGTACTACATGAGGAATGAAAGATAGGTACTGAGGTCACAATTGTCAGCAAAACATAAATAAATAAAATAAAATAAGCCATAAGACAAAAAGAAAAAAAATGTACATAATATGTTACACATGGGGTTTTTTTGGCTTTATTTTATTTATTTAACCTTTATTTATCCAGGTAAACTGTTTGAGAACCACTTCTCATTTACAAACATGACCTGGCATGCACTGGGTGCACTGCAATATACAAACCTACAAATTCAGCCATAGTAAAGTGATTGTAAATTTTACAATTTAAAAATTTTTAATCTATGCCCATGCAGCGCTAAAATTAATCAGAGTTAACTCGATTAATTTCACAGCCCTAAAAAAAAAAACCACATGATGGTGGAGCTGATGCCTCTGGTTGTAGTGAGTGTTCTCTGACCTACCCAACTGTTCAGCCAGCAGCCGACCACTGTCCACTGAGACCACCCTCTCCTCCTCCATATCACACTTATTCCCAGCGAGCACCACCTGAGCATTATCCCACGAGTAGGTTTTTATCTGGGTTGACCTGCAACAGAGTCGGAGACAAACGCACATCTTATTTCAAACACAGTGGTTGCTCTTCAGTATTTGTTTGGGGAGGGGGGGGGGAGTAATGAATGAATGAATGACAACTGTTTGGACCAGTCTTACACGGCGATTTCATCCCCGTTCTTGTGACATCACATAATGTTTGAGTCACCGGACACATCATTAGAGAACTGGGTCAGTTTTTCCTTCTGTACTGAAAATATGCAGCGACTTTTAGGTCATTATTTCTTTTTTACACACAGGACACTTTCACACCTCACCGCCAGCTCAACCGGCGACTAAAGCTCTCAAACCATTTTATAATGGAGGAATTAAAAAGACTACACCTCTGTCATTTTGCATTATAAAGCTATCTGAAATACAAAGTAGACTGGGCTAACAATTATTTCTTTTAGATAGAGACAGAACAGATAGATAGAAGCCATTAAATATATTTTGTCTCAATTAACCTAATAAAAATAAAATAAGCATCACTTTTAACTTGAATTCTGTACATCATATAACAGCAGTGGCCAAAATAGCATTCACACTCAATTTCCAGTTTCTCAGTGAGGTGCTGCTCTGCTCTGACCTCTGCAAGCTGCTTACAATATGGGAAGGAATTTAAGGAACGTTTTTTTTTTCCTGTGGAGTTTACAGTTYGACTGAAAGTAGGGCAGCAAACACACCCGTGGCTGAAAACAGGAGATAAAGAGGCAGCAGACAGGAAAACTAAAAGAGACRGCAGCATCATGTTATCCTCCTCCTCCTCCTGTTGTTGTTATGAAAACACTTCATGTTGGTCATTTGGTCCAGCTGAAAGTCCAGTATTTGATGTCAGTGTTACAGTAGCTCTCCGACATGTCTGTGACTCGGGCATGAAAACGAGCACGTCACAAGCCTACAGTCGGTGAGGAGCCACTACCATGGCAACCCGTTTTTTTCTGTTTCCTTTTTTTCTTCAACCTTGTCACAGGAAACGAGGGAACGAGAAGGCGGGTTTAAAGCAGGCGACAAAGAAAATTTAAAAAAAGAAATTCAGTTATGCGAAGGATGAAAAAGTGTCTCCTTTGTTTGTCAGCAGCTGATTGATTTGCTCTGTTAAGTGAGCTGTCAGGTAACCCTCTGGGATCACTGCTCGACTGCTTTAATTAGATAGCCATCACAGACAGAGCTCAGACAGCAGCGTCCTGTCAGAGAGGCAGAGAGGTCTCAAAAGAAGAACAGGTGCGTCTGGCTCCAGCCTGGCTTTACATGAAAGCCCTGTTTTTTTTTTTTTTTGTTTGTTTGTTTACAGTGACAGGAAATTAATCTAAATTAGGCTGATAACATGGAGCATTTAAACTGCTTCCTCTGAACTGTACATTAAACGTTTATTAATTACAGGTAACTACACACTGTTTGATTTAGTTCATGGACTGCTTTTTGCAATGATGCTTTCTGAAACAGTTGTAAAAGCTAATTACCTGAGTGACAACAGTACCACCATATGCACCAATAATTTCTTTTTTTATTGATGCAACACTAATCTCAGTTTTGTTTAAAGGGGCAATATTATGTGCTCTCCAAGCCTATATTTCCATTTTATACTAAAATAAAGTAACTATGTCACATTTTCAGCTTATGATATTTGTAAAAAAAAATCCCCAAAACAATTTACTTCTCACCTTGACAGTTTCTAAACGCCTTGAAATAGGTCTCTGTCTCTTTAAGAAAATGAAACAACTTCGGTCACGCCCATTTCAGCAAGTAGCCTGCCCCGGAGTCACGGAGCGGGGTGGGGGGGGGTGCTCTGCCATGAGGAAGTTCAGCTTAAAGACACATCCCAGAGGACGAGCTTGTCCCAAAAGGACACAACCCAGAGGCATTCCTGGTCCCCACCTGTCGTTTTGCTCCTCAGCATGGCTTCCTAAAAACGCTGCAGGATTTCTCAAACATGCATGAATGAGTCAGAGCAAGGCTTTGGGCATGTTTTTTATGAGAGTATAACATTATAACATGATATAAAACTCAAAAAAGCTGATTTTACATGATATCGCCCCTTTAAACACACATATGTATTTGGAACGTTCTTTGAGCTGACAGGAAATCCAAATGGCTTTTTTTTTTCAGCACAAACATCTGATTGAAATAAACAAAAATCAAACTACAGTCATCCATACAGACATTATTGGTGAGTTTTTTTTGAATCACAACATTGCTAACCTAGAAACCCAGTTTCTGCAACAGACTAAAAGTGGCCTTCCAACTCCTTGTTCAGACACAGAACGCATCGAGCCAGAGAACAGACWTTTGGCTCAGAGTCGTTGCTCAGTCGGCTTGTGTGACTCATGAATAGACCGGAGATGTGACCTTGACAAGTTTCTCCTTCATCTCTGAGCCTGGAAAATGGGTATGCTGCACGAAACATGTAGGATTTCATAGATAAAGAGAGGGATTGCTGCTGACTTTAGCAGGAGGTACAGAGAGATGTACAACATCATGCTGGACGAACCTTAAGCAGKGGGTGGGGGGTTATCATGGATTTTCCAGGCACATAGGTCAGTTCTATACCACAATAAAGTAACTATGTTGTAAAAATGCTGCATGTATCACAAATAAATTTGATATTTGACTGTTTGAACATCTTGAAATTAGCCTCTGTCTCTTTACAAACATCCTGCCATTTCTGACACTCCCACTTCAGCACATCTTAACAACAATGCTTCATGCCCTTTACAGCCTTTCACAGAAGTGTTGTATTTTGTTTTAAAAAGAAAGAAGCAACATTATATAATAGCTATTTTAGAAAATAGCAACTCAGGATAGAGTTGAGCCTTAATGATCCCATGGTGGACCTGGAAAATATTTTCAGAAGAACCAGAGGAAATCATCCTCTCATACATGCTCATCAAAGCTAAGCTACTTTTTGCGAAGAAACAATAAACATTGATCATTACGAAGCTATGCCAAGGCGGACTCACCAGTCCTGCACAGCACCGAAGGACTCCTCGTTGGTGATGTCGTACATGAGGATGAAGCCCATGGCGCCGCGATAGTAAGCTGTGGTGATGGTTCTGTAGCGCTCCTGGCCTGCAGTGTCCTACACAAAGACAACACAATTTAAAAGAGCTGCTGGACTGTCAAACTCAGCGACACGGACTCAACCCTGCACAGCACACACACACATCCACATTTTCATTAACAATACGCTGACAAATGGAACAAAGATTAGTGTCTTCCATTGTGCACATAATCATTATACTAATTGCCCCACTGGCTTTGCATTGATAAGCTGCAGTTGATAAGATTGATTTTTTTTCATCAATAAAATAATCATTGGGTTGTGTTAAAGGCTCAGCGGTGCTGTATTAAAAGATTAGGTTGTGACGTAATTCTCAGGAAAACGTCTGAATACGGAGGAGCAATTATTTTTCACATTGAGTAACTGTTTGCTGCTGACGGCGAAAAGATGAAAGAAATTGCTCAAAGCCAGAGGTTCACAGCTGAACGATGTCAGGGGAAAAAAGTTCCCATGCTTTTGTATTTCTGTTTAGATTGTGAACAAGCTGTACTGTCGTTTCTCTGACTTTTTTTTTGCGTTGCATAATAACAAACCTCAATCATGTTGGAGCTGTGTGTTTACAGCATTGTTCTTACACCCACAACAAGTGTGTTTCCAGGCTTCTGTGAATCACGTCAGATGACTTCTGGCTGCTCCACTTGGCTCCTGCTAAAACAGACCCTGAACAGGCAGCTCTGGGTTCTGTTCCTTTGCGTTCTGTTCCGTCTGCACATGGYTGCAACAGTGCGCCTGTTCTAGCCAGAGGACAAATCTGACCTTCCACTTCACAGAGATGAAGCTTTTAGCCTGCACAGCTTCCACTCACAAAGCACGGCTACGACCTTCTGTCAGTTTATAATAACGCATGAAACAAACAACCCGTAACTCGCATCTTTTTTTTGTTGTTTTTCTGCAGCTGTTCTCACTGTGAATACTCCAGTTCATGCTCAGGTCATCTGAGCTCTTTTTTTTTCTTTAACCTTCTTGTCTGAAATCTCAGCTGAGCCCTTAACAGTGACCGTTCGTTTCGGGCTGTTTTTGCCGACCGTTTTGCTTGCTCATAGTTGAAAGGAGAGAGTGGAGCGAGGAAGTGAAAATCTGCACGAGTCCTGAAAATCTGAGCACTTCGAAAGGCTTTGCATGGAGTTGCAAGCTCAGCAGAAATCGGCCAAAGCAGCTGACGGCTGGCTGGTGAGGAAGTGAGCAGAGACTGATAGCTGCTTTATGTGCGCGTCTGTTTTTATTAACGACACGGCTATCGGTTTGTACTCCCTTCACCGCGGTCTCAGTTAATTACAGGGATGGCTCTTTGTGTATTATGATGTGTGTGTCCACCACAAGGACTTAAGCCAATAGCCATCACCTTAAAAGGCCACTTACTGCGTGTCTCAGCTCCCTCTGAGTCCAACTAAAAGAGACAAGCCAATTATCTAGATGTAAGGGCAATTCTTTTCCTTTCGGAATATGCTTGTCTGTTCCGATGATGAACACATTATCCTGATTATCCCTCAGTGTTCAACCACAAGTTTTCACATGCTGATGTGATTACTTCTCCTTCTCTTTATTTGCCAAGAAAACACCAAGGGGTTTGGCGTACTGTTGCCAAATTGTGACAAAAAATAGAGCAAAACCTCTATATTTAAATACGAAAGAAAAAGACAAAAAAGAAGGAAATCTTTCGAATCTTTTTCCTCATCGTCTCGGAGGTATTAGGAGACAAGCTGCTTCAGCAACTCCCAACGAACTCCTAATTAAACAGATTCAAACGTTCTGCGGTTTCCCACACGTTCTGAAGAAAGGTGTTGCTCGTCTCTGCTCTGCGCCACACCGACACTTACTAATCTCCTGTCGGTAATGATGARATTTCCATCTGTCTCTGCACTTATCAGAAAATAATAATTAAAAAAAACTCAGTAAAACCGTTCCAGAATTTGAATTGAGTAAATAAATCACTTAGCCTTATGTGCAATGTGGCTTTAAGAATAAAACAGTCTTAAAGTTCAGTTTTTGTGTAAGTGTTAAATAACATGCTAAAACTTCAACCGCAGAGAATTTTTACTTTTAGAATGACCCTTTAAAATGTTGCACTTCAAGAAGTAGTTCCTAATCTTTCTGTGAAATCTTACTGTGTCAGGAGATGAAAGGCCAAGACGATCACAGCATACTAAAAAAACAAGGTAATATACCAACTTAAACTGAGTTACTGCCTCTTAATGATCTCCTTTTCTACTGCTGGTAAGTCCTAAACTGTCATAGTTCTTGACAAATATCGATCACTGAAAACATATAAGACAGAATGAGCTTGGGTCATATAGTAGGAATCATTCTCCTGAGACAATAAAACAAAAACAACGGGATGACATTTTTTTAAATAGCCTTATTCACATTACATCTCTGGGACATTAGTTACAAAACTTTTCCACCAACAAAATAACAGTTCCAGAATTTGAGATCCCAACTATTTTTAGTTATAGTATTCAATTATGACAAGAATTAAACAAGCGTTGTGATGACGTATAAACATCAAGTGGGCCAAAGCAGATGTCCGTTTGTCAAAGACAGTGKTGCATGAAGTACCTCAAAGTGATTCTTGAGTAAAATACAAGTATCTTAACATAAAAATACTCTGGTAAAAGTTAAAAATCTTCTCTAAAAATATTACTTGAGTAAAAGTCTTAAAGTATCTGATTTATTTTGTACTTAAGTATCAAAAGTAAAGTTCTGACACAAAATCTAGTATTAAAAGTAGAAGTACTGAGTAAAAGTGARCAGTTAGATTGTCCAAAATGACATTTATTGGGAGGTGACTTCTCCAAAACATATTTTTTCTAACATGTGATGGGTTGTGTACAAGCTAATATGGTGTCAGAATGGTATATATTTATACTTCTCATCCAACCACAATTAAATTCACTCAATCCAGGAGACACAATTTATCAGGATAGTTTTTTCTAAGTAATAACAACTCAGAGTAAAATAGGAGTAACGACTTTCTACTTCTTACCTTTTTAAAAAATGTAGTGAGTAGAAAGTGCAGATAACTGTGTAAAAATGTAATGAGTAAAAGTAAAAAAGTATGCTGAAAAATAATTACTCAAGTAAAGTACAGATAACCAAAATTTCTACTTAAGTACAGTAACAAAGTGTTTGTACTTAGTTACTTTACAGCTCTGGTCAAAGTACACCTCTGAACGTCTAACGCTCCAGTGTGAGTGTTTCATACCCAGATCTGCAGCTTGACCCTCTTGTCGTTCTTGTACACGGTCTTCACTTTGAAGTCGATGCCCACCGTGCTGACGAAGGCTGAGGTGAAGGCGTCATCGGCGTAGCGGAACAGGAAGGAGGTTTTGCCCACGCTGCTGTTGCCGATGATCAGCAGCTTGAACATGTAGTCAAAATTCTGGTCTCCTCCTTCTCCTTTCCCCTTGACATCCTGAGTGGCAGCCATCTGCAAAAAAAAAAAAAAAAAAAAAAAAAAAAAACAGAGACAAAAAGAAGGTTTTTCCACCTTGAGGTAAAGTCAGCTTGATCCAAAGTGTAACAGATAATGAGATGTGATAAGATAAGGGTGCGCAGGCTGCCTGGCAGGTTTGTTATATTCTCGTCTAGAAAAGCCCTCGTCCTCTGATCTAATCGCACATCAAGTTTGTGCACACATGCCAAGAATGAAGAAAAAAGCAAGGAAACGGCCCAAAAATTGTGTTCAGAAAACAGTACAGGCTTGTTGTACAGGCCACAGATCAGAGGTGACAGAAGGCTRCGTCAGGCAAACAGCATGAGCAACACAGCAAGCTGTTGTAATAATAAGCATTAGATAACAAGCTGTTTTTTCCCCAGAAAATAATCCCCCCCAACCAAGTCAAATGGGTATTTTTATTGACATTACTGACATTTAGCGAAAGTAAGCACAGCTTTGATTTAATGTTTTTGTTGCAGCGATTTTAATTTTCAAAGTGGATCTTCTCTGCAGGCTGAATGTCCCTCTGTTATGACCGTGTTAATTATCTTACACCCTAACAGTTCTGCTTGTAATGCTTTAGATCCCACTTTAAATAAACTGTCATGTTAAGAAAAACCTCCTCCATAATTAGAACTGCTGCACAATTGTACACAGAGTACTTGTAGAAGAGAAATTGATCTCTCCTCTCAAATACTCAGCGTTTCTCTTCAAGCTGCCAGCAGTCAGGGCTTCAGAGGAGGAGAGGAACTCGTTTTTTTTAATCCAAGGTGAATATTTTTAATAAGACAAACAAGCTTCCCTCCACCATTGAAATTAAATAAAATCCCACCTCTCCTTGTAGCCCCTGCAGTAAATAAAAGATGCCGGACCTCCATCATGCACGTCCTACTTGCTTTTCTGTTCGCTTCCGTGTGTGTAACGCGGTGTTAGCAAGGACACCGTTTTGAAAAATACAGCCGTGATTCAAGGCTTTCTGCTCCGGTAAAAGCTGTGTTACTGGTTTGAAACCACACGGTGATGCTTAGCGAGAAGCCAGCTAATGTCAGTTAGCAGTTCTGGGCAGGAGGTCATTTTATCTTTTTTTTTTTCCTCTCTCTCTCTCCTCTCGTGAAATTCTTCCACACAAACTGTAAAAACTCAGAAACCGCGCTGAGGACGTCGTTCGGACAAACCTGTTCTGAAGGCCTCGTGTCTGCCCCCCGTTTCGCGGAATTCGGGTTAATTATTTTATTATTTTATTTATTTTTGGACTCTAACGCAGAACGCTGGCGTGTCTCCGACCAGTTTCAGCACCTGGGAGCTGTCCCCTCCGCCTCGGCTCTGCCACGGTGGGAGCGCGAGCGGAGGGGAAGCTTGCGTCGTGCGTAACGTCGACGTCACGGAGGCAAAGAAATGGGGAGTTGTAGTTTTTTGTTTTTCCTCCTTTTTTTCTACTTATATCGTTTTATCAGCTTAGAGCAGTGTTTCCCAAAGTTGGGGTCGGGACCCAAAGTGGGGTCCTGAAACATCAAGGAGGGGTCCTGAAAAGATTTTTTGAATTAATTACATTTTTGCCTTAGTTGTTACACATGAGTGAGGTTAGT